GTTTTGTGCTGACCCTCAGTTGTACCGAGTAGGATGTCCTTCTCCAGGGGCTGGTCCTTCTAAGCAACTCCAAGATAACGTTGTTAAGTGCCATCAAGGTGGTTCCGATTCATAGTGACCCAGTATAATGTTTACGATGAGCAACTGGTGAATTTGAACCTCCGACTTCATGGTTCAAACCTACCTTGTGGTCCTGCACTTAACCTACAGCGTCACACCAAGATAACTTAACATCAGATCAAATGCGGTCAGCGGTTGCCTCCTGAATGCCTGGGGCTTGTGGCTGGCTGGCTGTGCAGGCTTGCAGCTTATTTCGTTAATCTCCCAGTAAGACAACCATGAGTTTTAGGTGATTACATATTTTTGGGCCCCATCAGTAGCTTTGCAGAGGTTTTACTGCCCTTAAGAGAACAGCACAGACTCACCACTTCACCTTGGCACAAAGCCTCTTAAAAGCTTTCTCTGGCTTCTTTCAAGCCATCAACCCTAATGTTTCCTTTTAGAGAAATGAGAAAATACATCAGGGTTTTGCAATCCAATGGATTATTATTATTATTATATGTCCACTAAAAAGGCCCAGCCTGAAAAATAATGCAACTTTATGTAATAGAGCACACCAAACAGCAGTAAGTGTGTGTGTGTGTGGGGGGAATATATATATATATATAATCATTCTAAAAACAATGTTTATATGTTAATATGGTTTAAAAGAGGCCAAGAGAAAGCTTCTAAAGGCTTTGCGCCATAACAACTGTGAAATAAACAACAACTATAATCAAGAGTGGGGGGCTCTCGGCCAGGTGGGTGGTAACATAGGGAGGTCTGGGCCCACTCTGGGTCTGGGGCACCAGCTTTTTTGAGATGAGTTCCATGAGTGTTTTGAGCACAATAGTATAGAACAGGTACGGGCAAACGTTTTCTGTGAAAGCTTCGATAGTAACTATTTTAGACCTTGATGATCATATCTAAGCAGAGGTAATGCGTAAATTAATGAGTATGGCTTTGACCCAAGAAAACTATTGACAAAAGAGATAGCAGAGTAGACTTGGCCCATGGGGTCTACTTTACTTATCCCTGGAGAGTAAAGAGTGGCTTTGGAATCAGCCTGGCTGGGTTTCAACTCCAGTTCTGACCTCTCCTAAGCTGGATGAGAGGCAAGTGATTTGAAGACTGGCCATATAGTGTTGTGCTTACAAACTTTGACCCTGGAGGCAGAGGGTGCAGTGTTCAAGTCTGCCTCCAGCACTCACAAACTGTGACCGTAGATGGGCCCTGCCTCTCAACTTCCCTCTCTCAGAGGCCCTGTGGTGAGAAGTATATGAGAAAGGTACATAGCATGTCTGCCTGCCACACGGTAAGTGCTTGAAAAGTACTCTTCCCTGAGTGTAATTGTAAGATGGCTTTAAGTAACACGTACGTAGAGTTCCTGGGTGGTGGACACAGCACACTCACTGATAGCTGAAGGTTGGTGGTTCTAGTACACTCAGAAGCTCCTCAAAAGAGAGCTCCGATGATCTACTTCTGAAAAGCCAGCCACTAGAAACCCTAAGGAACACAGCTCTTATCTGATACCTGCCCGAATCGGTGGCAGTCAGTTTGGTACGTGAAGTGTCTGGCACATAGCAGACACATGGCACTAAATGTTCCCTCTAGAATGAGAAGACAGTCCGGTCTCCCAAGAGTCTTTGCAGGTTCCAAAAGAAAGATGAAGATAGTGTTATTTACAGAATCAGAATCTTCTTCAGCGTCTAATGGGAGAGCCAGCACAGCTTGTGGGAACTGAAGGTGCCTTTGAGATCACCAACATTGCATGCTTGCGCTCCTCTTTGGTGTCTCGTTGCCCACGCCAAGCTCAGATCCCAGTTTGTGTTTGCTCACTTGTGCTTTTGGACATGCCCTTCCTCCGATTCAGATGACCTCCTTTCTTGGTCACCTGATTCCCCAAGACTCCATTCAGACACCCCGTCCCTGCGGGAGCCTGTCCCTGACATGCACCCCATCATGAACTCCCTCTGCAGGACTCTTACTGTCTATGATATTTAAAAGCCTTCAGCTCTGTGGGAGAAAGGTGAGGCTTTCTTTTCCCAAAAGATTTACAGCCTTGGAGCCGACTCACCAGAATCTAGCAACGAGAACAACAATAGTGGTATAATAGTTAAAGGACTTGGCTGCTAACCAAGAAGTCAGCAATTTGAACCCATCAGCCCTGCTGTAGTGGGCAGATGTGGAAGTGTTTCTGTAGAGATTTCAGCCTTGGAAACCCTAAAGCCCTCTAGGGGCAGTTCTGTTCTGTCCTATAGGGTCCTATGAGTCAGAACCCACCCTACAGCAGTGCATTGCGTTGATCTGATGATTTGCTGCTTTGTCTGATACCTTTGTCCCCGTGGGTCTGTTTCTTTAACTAGACTAAGAGCTCTTTAGAGGGGGAGTGCATTCATGTTACACTTTCTAGCCTCCCATTCACTCTCTTCTAGTACAGTGGATTCACAATGAATACTGATGGGTTGATAAAAGCAAGTTGTTGTTGTTAACTGATGTAGATGCCTGTGTAAATTTGCAGGATTTTAATTTTAGTACTTGCCAACTCTTGCTGACATTTATTAACTCAGTGGAACTCCACAAAGGAAATTGCCTTTTAAGAGCTGTCCTCAGACAAAAAGCCATAAAAATGACTATTCTAGGACTCGTCCATAAATCCTTCTCAGGCACAAGCTTCCAAGCTCTTTCCCCGTCTCTCTGCTGAATGGGGACTTGCAGGACTGAGGAACCACAACAGGAAAGGATGCTTGGACCCCAAGGAGAGCCACCCAGGAGAGAGACACCTGGACTGGAAGACCCATGTGAGACTTGCATGAGAAATACTTTTTAGTGTTAGATTAAAAATGCCCATACACACTCACACGCATGTGCGTTCATATACGAGGGGGCTTTAAAAAGTTTGTGGAAAAATAGAAAAAATAATGGAATATTCCCATGAACTGTTTGAAGCCCCCACATATATCATTCACACATACACAAATCTTCATTCGCACACATGTGCTTATACACGCACGTATTCACACACCATGTACACCAATGTTCATACACACAGACGTTAACACATACACACACATTTACTCACACATTCCCTGAAAATGTCCAGGTCCCTCGTCAGCCGGATGTTTGTCTATCAGAAGAGTGGGTATGGGCTCATCTGCGTGTGTGGCGTTAAGGGCAGGACTTGTTGGACAGTGTGAGTATCAGTGTGCCCCCAGTCCACACAGCCCTCTGTCTTCTGTGAGCAGTCAGCATCCCAGGGCCTTCTCTGTGCACACAGTTAATACCTGTAGCAATTCCGCTAGCCTCCACTCAGATCTGGATGCGTCGTCATCCACTGAGAGGTTCTGTAACTTGAAGGCCATTGTGCTGAGTCATGTTCTGCTCCATATGAATGGGGAGATGAACAGAGCTGCCTGATGCTGGGGAGTGGGGTGCCCTGATGATCCAGACCACGCGACACACCCTGTAACTCTCTGTAGGTTCAGAGAACAGTGACCGCAACAGATAAGGGAGTCTTAGCATCCCAATGAGATGGGACTTCTATGACAGGCCCTAGAAGCACGTCAGCTGCCCAGCACTCAATCCTAAACTAGGAAGTCCCTCACACAGACATGACTACCTCCAGCCTCGCAGCAGAGTTCTGACAGATTCTAACAACATGCAGTTTTCGTCGGCCCAGTTTTCCACTATCCCAGACCAAGAAGATACCACGTCGTAACCTGAAGGGCTGGTACGTGGGGGATGAGGAGGTGGGAGATGCGTGTGTCATCCTGAGGAAGAGGAAGTTGTTACGCGATACAAGAGAGATGTGGAGGGCCACTGCCAAGTTCATGGACTAAGTTAATTTACATCCTTCAGCATTGTGGTTTAGATGGCGTCACTTGGAGTCTCTGCTGAGAGAGGGGGGCTGTTCTCAAGTAAAGGAGGACCCAGTGATTTCAGACTCACCCGGTTGGTTACCTGGGAGTCCCAGGATCTCAGCTGCTATCTAAAAGGTGGTCATTTCACGTCTGCCCAGAGATGGCTCGTAAGAAAGTTCTGGTGATCTACTTCTGAAAAACCGGCCATTGAAAACTCTATGGGGCACAGTTCTACTTTGATATACATGGAGCTGCCGTGAGTCAGAATTGATGGCAATGTCTCCCCCCACCACTACCCAAGTTTCCTAGGGCTGCCCTAACCAGTGATCACAAACACGGTGGCTTCATTGTTCTCTTGGGGTTCTGAAATGTCTCAGGGCTCTGGGGGTTAGAAATCCAAAATTGAGCAGGGCTTTCCTGGTGTGGGGGTGTGGTGCTGTGGGCTTATGCGTCAGACTGCAAAGTCATTTGAACTGCAGGGTCGGTGGTTCAAGCTCACCAGCTGCTCCTTGGAAGCCTTATTATACAGAGTTGTTATGGGTCGGAATCGACTCGACGGCACTTATCATCATCATCCTGGTGTGGTGCTGTGGGTTAATGCGCCAGACTGTGAAACCATTTGAACTGCAAGGTCAGCGGTTCAAACTCACCAGCTGCTCCTTGGAAACCCTATACAGGGTTGCTATGGGTTGGATTCGACTCGGCGGCACTTAACAACAACAACAACATGCTTCCTAAAGAGGAAAAGTGATTTTTTGCCTCTTCCAACTTCTGTTGGCTGCCCCAGCATTCCTGGGCTTGTGGCTGTGTCCCTCCACTCTCTGCCTCTTTCCGTTGTCTCCTTCTTGTGTCTTCTTCATGTGTCTCTTCTAAGGATACTTGCCATTGGAAATAGGACCCACCCAGATAACCCAGGTCAGCTCTTGATCTCAAGACCCTTCACTGAGTCACACCTCCAAAGACTTTTTCCAAATAAGTCATGTTCACAGGTTCAGAGGACAGTGTGAGCCTCTGTGTGGTCACTATTCACCCTCGTGGACACCCCTCCCAGCTCTACCTCTCTGGCCACTGACTCTTCTTCCTTCTTTCCGGTGCCCTCAGAGGTGGAAGCACAGAGACGGGCCTGGCTTTGAAACACCTTCTGCGCAAAGGGTTCCCAGGGGGCAGGAATGAGTCAGTGCCCCAGCTTCTTGTCGTAGTCACTGATGGGAAGTCCCAGGGGCACGTTGCTCTGCCGGCCAAGCAGCTGAAGGAGAGGGGCATCACTGTGTTTGCCGTGGGCGTCCAGTTTCCCAGGTAAGATGCTTTGTTGTGCCATTCTGAGTCAGCATTCTGTGCTGGGAACTATGCACAGCCAAGAGAGGCCACACCAAGGGAAGAGAGGGGATCTGGCCTTTTCTTCACTCTGCCATTTTGGCTTCTGTGTACCGTGACCCCCAGGCCTTTGAAGTCATGAGAATGTATTGTCTTTGGTTTTGTCTGACCATTTGGTTGCAATGTCAGAAAGTTAAATGTTGTTTAGACAAAACTAGAAACTCATAATATGTGTGGCTTGGTGGGGGTGGACAGGAGCCAGATCATGGCCACTGTATGCATTATGGGAAAGACCTTGGAGTCTCTGGGGGTCAGGTGGGGAGAGTTTGGAGGGTTCGGAGCCAGAGGGTGATGTGAATTGACTTATACTTTTAGAAGCTCATACTGATGGTGGGGCCGAGGGGTAAGGGCAAGAAGGGAAGTGGAGAGACCAGTTAGGCTCTGGGGAAGCTCCCATGGGAGAGAGTGGTGGCTTATGGCCGGGGAGGAGAGGCTGGACTTGAGGTATGTGGTGAGGGCAGAGCAGTGACAAATTGGTTGCAGGGTGTATCAGAGAAGTGAGGATGGTGCCCAGGGTTTTGGTCAACACCAGTCCACCTTTTCTCTGTGGTGAGCTGCCCTAGCTTGCTCTTAACTGCCATTTGGAGGTCCCTATCTTTCATGTCCTTTCGGATGAATGTGTTCCTCTTCCTCATGGGCTACAAAACCAGACAAGTGAATGTGTTAGGACCAGGTCTCAAGGAAGAGTCGGAGGTGTTGAGTCGACTCATTCCAGTATGCACAGGTTACCACCCAGGACCCCTGGGCTGCCTTGAGGCCCTTTTGGTCCATACCTGTGTCCTCAGTGGTCACATTGTAGCCAGGAGACCTCTGGGCCACGTGGTGGGTGGTGCACAAGGAGCCCATGTTCTGGGAGGAGGGTGGGTGGAGCCTTCCAGCTTTGTAACTTATGGTGGGCGGGGCTGGGGCAGGTGGGAGGAGCTGCAGACGCTGGCCAGCGAGCCCCAGGACCGGCATGTGCTGTTTGCAGAGCAGGTGGAGGACGCCACCAACGGCCTCCTCAGCACCCTCGGCAGTGCCGCTGTATGCACCGTGGCTCTACCAGGTAAGACCCTCTAAGTTGGAGGGTGGGAATTAGGATGTGGGGGAGCAGGGACCCCCCCCACCCAGGAGAGAAACAGGGGAGGAGGATGGTAGGACTGCTTTTTTGTATCTATTTGTTCATTCCTTCCCCTGCCCCTTATATTGGGCTCAGTGGGTTCTCAGCTGGGAGTCTTGACCATATGTGTCCGTGGGGGTATAGGGCCCAGCTCGGAGGAAAGGACTCCAAACACTCCCCTTGGTGAGTACAGGGCCTGGGTGAGTGAGGAGACTTTGGGCCTTCGTGTCTTGGTCAGGGTCCCTCATTATACAGAATGAACATGTGCTGCACATCTGGTGGGAAAGGTGGGTGGGAGGTGGCTGAAGGAGAGCAGCTTCTCTGAGCCTGGAGCCCCAGCTGAATGGGCTGAGCAGGTGTGTGCGCACACACTCCCACCCCACCCCACACACACCCCCCAAGAGCCGAGATAGCAGAGCTGCAGGTAGAGTGTTGCCCCAGGGGAGCTGGCAGAGACCAAGGTGTGACCCCATCTTCTCCTGCACAGACTGCCAGGTGGAGCCCCACCCCTGTGAACGTAAGGTGCTGGAGACGGTCAGTGAGCATGACAGCAACGCTCTGTGCTGGAGAGGCTGGCCCCGGACCAATGCTGTGCTGGCCTCGCGCTGTCCCTTCCACAGGTGGGTCTGCAAGGCTGTGGCTGGAGTGCGGGGAGCTAAGATGCCCCCAACGTGACATGCTCTGCAGGGAGAACAGCTCTTATAGATCATGTGACCGGGATCAGGGGAGACCTGGGAAAAGGCAGGGATCTGAGCACCTCAGTGTCAGCAGCTGTCAGCACCCACCCTGGGTGCTCAGGGAGACAACTCCTTATAGGGGCACTGTGAACACTGAGTAAAGGTATGTTGTTGAGTGGTTCTAATTCCTAGTGACCCTGTATAAGGTTTCCAAGGAGCAGCTGGTGGATTAGAACCTACTGACCTTTCAGTTCAAAGCAACCTTGAGGTCCAGTGCTTATCCTACAGGTTTCTAGAACGATGCCTGCGTATCAGATGCCCATTCAAGAAATTCTCACTTAGGGGTCCTTTATGCTGTCCCAGGACCTGGAGATTGAGAGGTTTTGGATCTAAGTGAACAAACTTGCTCTGGGGCTGACCCCCGAGGGGTCAGGCAGGGAGGTAGGCAGTGAACAGCAGGTCGGCATGGAGAGTGAAGAATGCATGGCAGGGGGCGGGCGGGGGCAGTGTGCTCCCAGCAGAGGGGAGCGGTTGGAGGCCAGGGAAGGCCTTGCAGAGAATGTGGCCTGGAGGCAACATCCACCCTTAGCACCCATCCAGGCTCAGGGCTGGGTGGGTAAGGGAGCGCTTTCTACTGGGACTTGGGGTTTTTTTTCTGAGCTCATTAAGATTCAAAGTTACTGCTGTTGTTAAGTGCTATGGAATTGTTCCAGCTCATATGGACCCTGTATGGGGCTTCTGAGGAGCAGCTGGTGAGTTTGAACCATTGACCTTGAGGTTCAAACTGACCTTGCAGCCCAGTACATTATCCTGCAGTGACACACAGCAAGGGAAGATTTCTCCTTAATGAGCTGACAGATGGGTAAACCTTTTGTTCCAGCAACTAGTTGAATTCTTACTTGACATGGCTTTTATGCCAAGTGGACGTTTTACCCCAGGAAGACCCTGAGCCCAGTCCACACCCTGGGAGAGCAGCAGGTGGGACCTGGTAGGTAGAAACCTCTTGGGAGAACTTTGTTGGCTCTAGTCCAAGGGTAGGAGTCTGCTTCGGTGAGGCCATTCCTGGAGCTGTTGTTAACCAAGAGGAACCTGGGGCCTCCCAGTGACAACAGGGCCTGTCATGAGGGTAGGGGCTTTGGGGTCAGGTAATAGGTGTCTGGATCCCAGCTCTACAGTCTTCTAGTAGCAGTGTGACTTGGGGAGCCTAAGTCATCCTTTGAAGCTGTTTTCCATCCACAGGATGAAGGTAGCTATGGATTTGAGGTAACAAGGGGGATACCTGGTACATGTAGACCACCCAGGATCAGTGGTGGCTGTTAATTACAGACTGGTAGCATGCACACAAACCTGGGAAGGTGAATTGAACGGTCTGTAATCCCTTTGAGCAGTGGAACTTCATAGGGACACTTGCTGGTCAGACCAGATAGGAGCATTTGGGATGATGAGGAAGCCTGGGTCCTGGCCACTTGGTTCCCTTCACTTAGGTCCCAAACCCCCATGAAGGCTGCTGAAAAGTACAGCTAGAGTTGTTTAGAAGAGAGGGAACTAATTTTCCTTGGGGGATAAAACCAGAATCTACTTATCTAATTCTTAGTGTTTTACCCTCCGACACATTGTGCTGGCCCCAGAAAGCAAGATGTTCCCACCATTTGGAGTTTTGAGCACAGACTTCTCCATTATTATAATCCCCCTGCCTGCCAATCGATTCCCAATCCTATAGGACCAAGTAGAACTGCTCCGTGGGAGTAGATCACCAAGCCTGGTTGGCAGCTGAGCACGTCAGCACTTTGATAGCTGACCTAGCTTTTACTTTTTAATTGTCTCTAAGTAGTTTGAAATAGTCTCTATTCTCTGTAAAGACAGAAGTGGGGGTAGAGTCAAGAAGGAATATCATTCTGAAGGGGTTTCTCTTGACCTTCTCCTGCACTGGAATTTTGTATCAGATGCTACTGTTGATTAAAAAAATATCTCCATGTGTCTGCCCTTCTTGTAAGCCTCTGATCTCCCCCATGTTCTTCCCTTTGATTATAGCAAGAGGAGAGTGTTCTTGAGCCACCGTGCCACCTGCTACAGGACCACCTGCCCAGGTATGTAAAGGGGCTTTGGCACAAAGTCCTGGGCAGAGATGGGCCAGGACTGCCAGGAACGAGGGCGGGGCATTTAACTCTGTCTCCATGGCAATGGAGTGTGTTTACACCACTCTGTTACCTCACTTGTTTCACAGTATTTCCCATTAAACATGGAGTGGGGACTTCAGAATGATGCCCCTTGCATTGCTGAGTGGTAGTGAAGGCTGTCTGTCCCGCAGGCAGAAAACCTCAGTCCAGCACTGAACTTGGGACAAGCGACCTGAGCTTTCGTTTGCTCCTCTGTGAAATGGGCATAATGTGTGCCCTCTGTCCGGAATCCTGTTTCCTGGTTTCCATCATAGCAAGTCTCACACATGGGAGTTTAGTGAGGCTTCCAAAAGTGCCTTGTCAGCACTAAACCTCCACACGTGAGACTTGTGTATGTGACTGTGGCCTCCCTGCTCCATGCCTCGGTCAGTGCTGCCCACTGACCCGCCTCAGTCCAGTGTTGTGCTGCTGCTGTAAGCAGAGCCGATGGGCTCCCCATGCAGCCAGGGTGGTGGTGTCTAGCATGTGGTGTCTGTTTCCACAGCTTCAGTATCACTGGCCCCTGAAATATACTAGAAACTGAAAGGAAGCCTGTTCCTGCTCAGTTTGAGGACTTGTGGTGTGGGAGCCAGAGTGGTCTGCCTGTGAGTCCAGGCTCTGACCTTTGGCACGTTAATTCTTTCAGTGAGTTTCTGTTTCTTCATCTGCTAAATGAGCTTTTTATAGAACACTGGATTAGGCTGTTACCACAGTGAAATGAGCTTGTACCTGGCATATATTAGTGCCATTGAGTCGTTCGTTTCTGACCCATAGCGACCCTGTATAGGGTATCCAAGGAATGGTTGGAGTTCAAACTGACCTTACAGTCCAGTGCTTGCCCTACCGGGACTGCAGTAGCTGCCTAGTTACTGTGCCACCCCATGGTTGATTTCCAGGGGCCCAGAGCCAGCTGCAGTAGCGCCTTCCTTTGAGAAGCACACACTTAAATCACAGTCCATCACAACCAAGCATTAGATTAGCATTTGTAAGCAAAAAGAGCAGAAACTGCCAGCTCCAGCCATCCTCACACTTGGCAGCCTGTCAGGCCCCTTGAATACATAACACATAAACTCGGGAAGACGCGCTTGCTCTCTGCAGCCGTGAGAGAGGAGACACAGGGTCTGTCTGTCTTTTGTAGATGAGAAAATGGATAAGGAGCTCCAGTTGTGGCTGCAGGCTGGCGTTGAACTGACAGTTCACAGGGCTGTGATTTCCTCAATAAAATGACTTTGAGTAGACATTACCCATAATTTACACTTTCCACCCAAAACATATATCGTATGACCTCTTAAGGAACTTGTTATGGATTGGTGTCCCCCCAAATACATGTTGTAAACACCTGCACGACGTCCTCCAGGGACTGGTCCCTCCAGATAACAGGTCCGAAGTATAGAGATGAAGTCTGGCCATCCCAACTTCTAATGAGCACTCTGGCTGTACTTCTTCCAACACATATCTGTTTATTCTTTTTGACATTTCATGGTACTTTTAATAGTCTCCTCCAAAACCGTATTTAAAATGCATGTATTCTTCTACAGTCTTTCTTATTCATTGTTCATCTTTCATATGCATATGAGGCGATTGAAAATATGACTTGGGTCAGGTGCACCTTAGTTCTCAAACTGACTTCTTTGCTCTTGAACACTTTTTTAAAGAGGTCTTGTGCAGCCGATTTGCCTAATGTAGTGTGTCGTTTGGTTTCTTGACTGCTGCGTCCATGAGTGTTGATGGTGGACTCAAGCAAAATGAAGTCTTTGAGAATATCAGTATTTTTTCAGTTTATCACGATGTTATTTATTGGTCCAATTGTGGGAATGTTTGCTTTCTTTACATCAAGGTTCAATCCTTTACAAAAGACTATTCATCTCTGATCTTCATCAGTAACTGTTTTAAGCCCTCTGCTTCCAGGAAGTGAGATTGTCTCATCTGCGTGTTGCAGATTGTTAATGAGTTTTCCTCCAATTACGATGCCACATTCTTCTTCATATTATCCAGCTTCTTGGGTTATTTGCTCAGCATACATATGGAATAAGTATGGTGAAAGGATACAACCCTGTCGCACACCTTTCCTGATTTTAAACCATTCAGTATCTAACAGTTTTAACAGTGGCCTCTTGGTCTATGAGCAGGTTCCTCATGAACACAATGAAATGTTCTGGAATACCCATTCTTCATAATGTTATCCATAGTTTGTCATGATCCACACAATCAAAAGCCTTTTTGTAGTCAATAAATGCAACTGAATTTCTTTCTGATACTTTCTGTTTTCAGCCAAGATCCATCTGACATCAGCAGTGATATCCCCTAGTTCCACGTCCTCTTCTGAATCCAGTTTGGATTTCTGGAAGTTCCCTGTTGATGTACTGTTGCAACCATTTAAAAATTATCTCCAGCAAAGTTTTACTTGCATGTGATATTTTATGATATGGTTCAATGATTTCTGCATTCTGTTGGGTCACCTCTCTTTGGAATGGGTACAAATAATGGATCTCTTCTAATTGGCTGGCCACGAAGCTGTCTTACAAAATCCTGGCCTAGATGAGTGAGCGCCTCCAATACCACACCAGTGTGTTGACAGATTTCAGTGTGCATTCTGTCAATTCCTGAGCCTAGTTTTCTGCCAGTGCCTTCAGTGCAGCTTGTACACCTTCCTTCAGCTCCATCGCTTCTTGATCATATGTTATCTCTTGAAATGGTTTAATATTTAACCATTATTTCTTTTGATTACAGTGATTCTGTATATTCATCCCTTCTATCTTTTTTTTTTTTGATACTTTCTGCATCATTCAGTGTTTTGCCCATAATATTGCAACATCAGACTTGAATTTTTTCTTCAGTTCTTTCAGCTTGGGAAATGCTGAGCATATTCTTCCCTTTTGACTTTCTAACTCCAGGTTTTTGTGTGTTTCATTATAATACTTGGGTTGGTCTTCTCAAATTGCCCTTTGAAAACTTCTGTTCTGCTCTTTTACATACTCATTTCTCCCATTCACTTTAGCTTCTCTGCGCTCAAGAGCAAGTTGCAGAGGCTTTTTCTGACATCTCTTTTGGTTCTTTCATTTCTGTCTCTTTAATGATCTTTTGCTTCCCTCCTGAATGATGATGCTCTTTATATCTTCCTACAACTCTTCTAGTTTTCGGTTATTAGTGTTTAATACATGAAATATATTCTTGACATGGTTTCTAAATTCAGGTGGGATACATTCAAGGTCATGTTTTGTCTCTGGTGGACTTGTTTTAATTTTCTTCAGCTTCAGCCTGAATTTGCATATAAGCAACTGGTGTTCCGTTCCAGAGTGTGCACCTGGCCTTGTTTTGGCTAACGATATTGAGCTTTTTCACTGTCTCTTCCCAAAGATGTAATCAGTTTGATTCTTGTATATTCCATATGGCAAGGTCCATGTGCATAATCTCCCTTTATATTGTTTACAAACGGTAGTTGCAATGAGTAAGTCATGGGTCTTACAAAATTCTATCATGTGATCTCCAGCATCATTTCTATCACCAAGGCCATATTTTCCAACTACTAATCCTTCCTCTTCTGTTTGAAACTTTAGCATTCTAACCACCAGTTATTATCAATGCATCTTGATTGCATGTTTGATCAATTTCAGATGGAAGAAGTTGGTACAGTCCTTCAGTTTCATCATCACTGGCTTTAGTGGTTGGTGCATATATTTAAGTAATAGTGGTATTAACTGGTCTTCCTTGTAGCTTGATAAGCTTGTGAAAGTTGGACAATAATAAGGAAGTCTGTAAAAGACCATAATTGATACATTTGAATTATGGTGTTAGAGGAGAATATTGAAAGTCCCATGGACTGCCAGAAGAACAAACCAATCTGTGTTGGAAGAAGTACAGCCAGAGTGCTCCTTCAAAGCCAGGATGGCAAGATTGTCTTTCATACTTCAGACATAGGATCAGGAAAGGCCAATCCCTGGAGAAGGACATCATGCTGGGTAAAGTGGAGGGTCGGTCAGCGAAAACGAGGAAGAACCCCAACAAGATGGACTGGCCCAGTGGCACCAGCAGCAGGCTCAAGCTTAACAATGATTGTGAAGATGGTGCAAGACTGGGCAGTGTTTTGTTCTGTTTTGCATAGGGCCGCTGTGAGTCGAAACTGGGTTGATGGTACCTAACAACTACAACCTGTAGGCATAAGGATATTGTTCTATCACAGACAACATTGTACCTGATGATAGATCTTGTTCTTTTTGACGATGCATGCGATCCATTCCTTACAACTTGTCATTCCCAGCATAGTAAACCACGTGACTTTCTGGTTCATAATGGTCAATACCAGTCCATGTCAGCTAATACCTAGAATATGATTCTTTGTGCACTCCATTTAATTTTTTTTACAAATTCTAATGTTCCTAATTCGTAGTTGGTACATTCCATGTTCTGATTATTAATGGATGTTTGCAGCTGTTTCTCCTCATTTTGAGTTGTGCCCCATCAGCCAATGAAGGTCCCGGAACCCTTTACTCCATTCACATCATCACTGTCAGCTCTCCCTTGAGGAGGCAGCTCTTTCCCAGTTGCATTTTGACTGCCTTCCAACCTGGCACTGTATCTGACAATATTCTGGGGATCTTCACCAGGTTTTCATCGTCTGATTCTGTATCTGACAAGGTTTTGCTGCTAGTCATAAGGTTTTCAGTGGCTAAACCTTCAGAAGTAGTTGGCCTCTCCTTCCTAGTCTGTCTTAGTCTGGAAGCTTACCTGAAAGCTCTTCACCATGTGTGACCCTGCTGGTATTTCACATACTGGTGTCTTAGCTCCCAGCATCACAGCAACACAAAGCCACCACAGCATGACAAACTTGACAGATGAGTTTACCTTAGAGATTACATTAAAGCACGCTTATGGGCATACGGATTAGGACTCCAACAGAGATTTGGGGGCAAGGGGCACAATTCAGCCCATAACAGTGTCCTCTGGCAGAGGCACGCTCAGCCCCTCCTTTATGTGCTGGTCAGTTATTTCCCTCTTTGCTCTAGGTGTGTTTCAGACAGACTGCAGAGGGGAGGCAGAGGTTGGCAGGGCCAGCTGCAGGCCCTTCACCTCCTCTGTGCTGACCTGCTGGACTAATGAGCTTCTCTCCCTCCGGAAGGGCCCTGTGATGCTGAGCCCTGCCAGAACGGAGGCATGTGTGTTCCGGAAGGTCCTCACGAGTACCACTGCGTCTGCCCGCTGGCCTTTGTAGGAGAAGCCAACTGTGGTAAGTACGCAGGGGCTGCTGAGAGAGAACGTTGGAGAATGGGTAGAGCTTGGGCTCCCCCTTATTGTCTCCCACACTTGAAGTCACTGGGTAGAAACCAGCCACTGAATGTTAGAGCCACCTTCTTTCTAAAGACAGCATTAATAGGACTTCCACAGGGTGCGGTCTCAAAGTGCCCCAGGTAAATAATGTCGTTGATAGGGCTCTGGGAAGGATGGTGCCATCAGCTGTAGACTGACCATTGCTTGCTGTCTGTGCATCACTGAGCCCAGTGGGAATTCCGGCTTTGGGGCCAAGTCCTGGGCAATGTTCTGTCTGTTCTTCCATGGAAGAGAAATAAGGAATCCCAAACTCCACTGGTTCTAATGGTCTGAGATGAAGATTACAATAGGTGTTACCCCATGGGGCCATGAGAGTTTTAAATATGATCATGTGTATAAAATGCTTAGAACAATTCTTGATACATGTTGTGTTGTTGTTGGATGCCATCGACTTGGTTCTGACTCATTGTAAGTTTCTGCACAACAGAACACAACACTGCCTGGTCCTGCCGCAGCCTCACACAAGTTGTAAAGCTTGAGCCCAGCGCTGTTGTCCATCCATCTTGTTGGGGTCTTCCTGTTTTTCATTGACCCTCTACTCAGTGTAGCATGATGTCCTTCTGCAAGGACTGGTCCCTCTTTGGTAATATATCCGAAGTATGAGAAACAAAGTCTTGCCATCCTGGCTTCTAAGGAACATTCTGGCTGTACTTCTTCCAACACAGATTTGTTTCTTCTGGCAGTCCATGGTACTTTAATATACTTCTCCAACACCAGAACTCAGATGCATTAATTCTTCTACAGTCTTCCTTATTCAGTGTCCAGCTTTCATAGGCATTATGAGGCTGTTGAAAATACCACAGCTTGGGTCAGGCACAGACTGACATGTTAGCTCCTTCAACACTTTAAAGTGGTTCTGTGCAGTATATTTGCCTATTGCAATATATTATTTGATTTTTTGATTTCTGCTACATTCCATGAATGTTGGTAGTGGATCCAAGCAAAATGAAGTTTGACAACTTTTCTCCATTTATCATGATGTTATTGGTCCAGTGGTGAGGATTCTTGTTTTCTTGACACTGAGGTGCAACATGATGTTGTTGTTGTTAAGTGCTGTTGAGTCAATTATGACCCATAGGGACCCTGTATAGGGTTTCCAAGGAACAGCTGGTGAGCTTGAACCGCCGACCTTGTAGTTCAAATGACTTTGCAGTCTGATGCATTAGCCCACAGTGCCACACCAAGGGTGCAAAATAGTAGGGGCTTACGACAGCATATTGTTAACATGTGGGGCAGGGTCCGTTGTTCCAAGTGGTAAAAAATAAACCACACCCCTTAAGTCAAGGAGCCTGGTGGCATAACGGTTCAATGCTTGGCTGCTAACTGAAAGGTTGCTGGTTCAGACTCATCAGTGGTTCTGGGGAGAAAGATCTGATGCTCTGCTCCTGTAAAGGTTACAGCTAGGAAATCCCTGGGAGGCAATCTCCTCTGCCGCATGGGGTTACCGCCAACTTCTACCTCACACCCCACACAAAAATCCCTTCTACTTGGAACATAGTGCTAAAGGCAAAGCCAAGAAGCATGTAGAAGACAATGTAGAATAGACTCACGATCTTGAGGTGGACAGAGGTTTCTCAAACAGGTGCGAAAAATCACTTAACCATATAGGAAACAAAAAACATAAACTTTCTGAAAGGTGGTTGGATGGAGACCTTTGAGGTCCAGGAGAGACTCCGTGTCTAGTTTTGTCACTTTGTGGCAGGGGCAGGGGTAGGATGTCTCAGGTGCTCTAAGGGACGCGCAGGACACTGGTGGTTGATGTGTCTCTTACAGCTCCGAAACTCAGCCTGGAGTGCAGAATCGATGTCCTGTTTCTGCTGGACACCTCGGCGGGCACCACTTGGACAGGCTTTTTGCGGGCGAGAGCCTTCGTCAGGCGGTTTGTGCAGACTGTGCTGGACGAGGACTCTCGGGCCCGCGTGGGTGTGGCCCACTACAGCCGGGAGGTGGTGGTGGCGGTGCCCGTGGGGGAGTACCAGGATGTGCCTGACCTGGTGCGGAGGCTTGATGACATCCCCTTCAGTGGAGGCCCCACCCTGACAGGCAGCGCCTTGCGGCAGGTGGCAGAGCATGGTTTTGGGAGTGTGGCCAGGACAGGCCAGGACCGTCCACGCAGAGTGGTTGTCCTGCTCACCAACGCACGGTCCCAGGATGAGGTGGCCGGTGTGGCGTTCCAGGCACAGGCTCGAGAGCTACTCCTGCTTGGCGTGGGCAGCGAGGCTGTGCGGGAGGAGCTGGAGGAAATCACGGGCAGCCCGAAGCACGTGGTGGTCTACGCTGACCCCCAGGACCTGTTCCAGAAGATCCCCGAGCTGCAGAGGATGCTCTGCAGCCAACAGCGTCCAGGTGAGGTTCAGGCAAGAGGACCTGACCCCGGCCTGGTCTGTGGGTGGGTGAGTCATAAGCCCTTACCCATTCTTCTCTCCCAGGGTCTGGGCCAGGGGCTAAAACCAATCCCAGACTTTTAGGTACTAGTCACATGATGAGTGACTTTGTAGTTTACGTGTCTGTGAAATGGGACAAGTAATAGCATCTCCTGAAAGGTTCTTTGAGAGGATTAAGGTAAACAGTAACTAACTTTGTATACCTTATGCGCATAGTGGGCGCGCACTGGCTCCATAGGAGAAGTGCTGGACTGCAAAGTACAAGGTCTATGGTTCGAGCCTGCCACCCACTCTACGGGAGACATATGAGGCTTTCTACTCCCGTGAAGATTTTTAAAGCTTCAGAAACCTTATGAAGAATCACTATGAGTAGGAACTGACTCGACAGCCTTAGCAGCAGCATGCATGCACATAGTAAGCACTTAGAAGACTGTTGTTAAGGGCTGTCGAGTTGGTTTTGACTCATCATGACCCTATATGGGGTTCCCGAGGAGCAACTAGTAGATTTGAACTGCTGACCTTGTATGGTTCGCAGTCCTGTGCTGATCCTCCAGAGCCACATCAGAAGTCTTTGAAGACTTTAGCTGCTGCTGTTGATTATTAATTGGCCACCGTGAGTCATGCTGTAACAAACACTGGTATACAAGCATCTGTTTTGAGTCCCAGCATTCTAGGTAGGAGTGGAATTACTGGGCCATGTGGTGATTCCAAGGTTAGGCCTTTGAGGAACCACAGCTTCCTTTTTGAAGATGTAACTTGAAGTTGTAGCTATTTCAGATCATGTTCCATTGGATCAATCTTAGACATGGGGCTACAGCTAGCTGCAAGGGAGGCTGGGAAAAGTCATCTAGCTGGGCCCTCACATGCTGGTGTTCTAGGGAGTGGCGCACTATGACTAAGGGACCATGGTGAGGAGGAGGGCCACTGCATTGGACAGATGGCGATTAGGTGACCTGGGCTGTGTCCACCCTATTCCCTGCCTACGGAGGTTCACACTCTGCCTGACCTACAGGCTGCCAGGCCCAGTCGTTGGACCTGGTTTTCATGTTGGATGCTTCAGCCTCCGTGGGGCCAGAGAACTTCGCTCAGGTGCAGAGCTTCGTGAGAAACAGCGTCCTCCACTTCGATGTGAACCCCGATGTGACACAGCTTGGCCTGGTGGTGTATGGCGGCTTGGTCCAGACAGCCTTCGGACTGGACACGCATCCCACCCGTGCTGCTGTGCTGCGGGCCGTGAGCCAGGCCCCCTACCTGGGTGGGGTGGGCTCGGCTGGCATGGCCCTGCTGCACATCCATGACAAGGTGATGACCATCCAGAGAGGTGCCCGGCCAGGGGTGCCCAAGGCCGTGGTGGTGCTCACCGGTGGGCGGGGTGCCGAGGATGCAGCCGTCCCTGCCCAGAAGCTGAGGAACAACGGCGTCTCCGTGTTGGTGGTGGGCGTGGGGCCCGTCCTGAGGGAGGCTTTGCGGAGGCTTGCTGGCCCCAGAGATGCCCTGATCCATGTGGCGGCTTACGGAGACCTGCGATACCATCAGGACGTGCTTATCGACTGGATCTGTGGAGGTGAGTAGACGGTCCACGCCCTTCAGGGCTGCCTCTGTCCTCACCAGGACAGCGGCTCTTCCTCTTGGCAGCGGCAGTTCCCATCTGCCAAGGTTTCTGCTCAATGCTGTGCTCCCATGACCTCCTGTGCAGACCAAGGCATTCCTGTTTGACGTTGAAGGTGCAGAGAATGTGGGTAAAACACGTCTCCTCAAGTTGAGGATTCACGTGTTCCACTTAAGCAGAAGACATTTACCCTTGGGACACCCACAAATTGCTCAAGAGTTAAGTGGTAGACCCAGAGAGTTAGTGACAGATGGGTGCAAAATGTAGAGCGGCCTGCCTAGCTCCAAGGCTGCTTTTATGGGTGGCCTCCTTTCTTCCCTTTAAAAAAAAAAAAAAGGCCATGACTACAGTGAGCATGGTCCCTCACATACATCCAAGAGAATACGTCTCCATACACCTGTGGGAAAGGCACCTGGGGGTGTGGGGTCTTGTAGCCCAAGTGTGTAATCTGTACCACCAACTATTGTTGCTTTAGGGCCCAGGGAGACACTAAGGCATGCAAGTCACTTAGTCCAGTGACCTTTCATCTGTCTGGGCTTAGTTAGAGCGAGGGTCTTCGGGACTGACCCAATGGATATTTGCTCTGTTGCAGAGGCCAAGCGGCCAGTCAACCTGTGCAAGCCCAACCCGTGTATGAACGAGGGTGCCTGCGTCCTGCAGAATGGCAGCTATCGCTGTGCGTGCCATGAGGGCTGGGATGGCCCCCACTGTGGGAACCGTAAGTGGGATTCTCGCTCTGCTTGAGTGGGCTGGCGGGGCGGTGTGTGTGTGTGTGGGTGGTCTGAGTCCTGCCAGGTCTCAAGTCCTCAGCAAAGGTAGGTTTGTGGGCATTTATTCAGTGGAAGTTGTGTATTCATCCACTCATGAAACATTTACTGAGTGCCTCAGACACCCTAGGCATTTCTGGGGCACAGCAATTAACCAAACAGTAAGGAGCTCTACCTACGTGGAGCTAGCATTCTAGTGGGGAAGCCAGATGATGAACAAGGTAAGTACTACAGGTAGTAGATGGGGTGGGAGGGAAGAGCAAGAGCCAAGCCCCCATGGGGAGGCTGCCTGTGTGTGTGGCTGGAGGGGAGGTAGCTGCGGGAAACAGGAGCCCAAGTCAGAAAGGTGACTGGCCAGTCAAGCAGGGCCTTGAGACTCGTGTAAGAACCGCATTTGGGCACAGAGCCCAGTGGGAGCCCTTGGAGTACTAGAGATGAGAACTGACTAGCTCTTCACGGGGTCAGCACGTTGGGAATACGGGTCAGGCTGGTGACATGTGACTGAAGTGGGGTTTTGTTTAGGAGGCCCAATGGATCGATGGCATGTGGCTTGCGGGGGAAAGGTATTGGGTCTGAGCACCTGGAAAAGTGACCGGAGACTAGGCTTTGGAGGTGAGGCCCCACTGCTTGTCCAGGCGGGCATAGCTGAGCTTTCTGGAGGGGCCATGCTGTGGTTCTAGAATAGAACCAGATGGTGGTTCCAGGTGGAGCCGTGGGCAGAGGCTAACTTCCTAAGGCCAGAGCGGGGACCTGAAGGGTACCAGCGAGAGTCTTGGATCCAGCAGGGGGCGGATTAGGATGTCTAGGGAAAGAGCAGGACCAAACTAAAACCAAAGCAGTTGGCACCCAATCGATTGAGTCAGGGCAGCCTTACATGTGCTGCTGTGTGAAGCAGATCTAAAGCCGAACAGCAAGCCCACTGCTGTCGAGCCCTGCCAACTCTTAGCAACCCCGCAGGGCTTCCAAGCAGACTGCTGTATCATTCTCTTGGGAAGTGCTTGGGTGTGTTCGAACTGCCAACCTATTGGTTAGCAGCAAAACTCTTAACCATTGTATCACCAGGCCTTTTATATTCTGAAGCCTCTCTGAGTAGGTTTGAACCGTCAACCTTTTAGTTAATAGTCCAGCACTTAACTGTTTGTGCCACGCAGGGATTCTAAGAGCAGGACCAAACCAAAACCCAACCACTGAATGGATTTTGCCTCAATGATCCTACAGGCCAGAGTAAAACTACCCCATAAAATTTCCAAGGCTATCTGGCTTTACGGAAACAGCCTCATCTTTCTTCCAAGGAGCAGCTGATGGGTTCAAACCGCTGACCTTTCAATTACCAGCCCAACATTTCACCCACTGCACCACCAGGGACCACACAGAAATTGTGTGTCTTACAATTTCACTTCTTTCTCCAGGACTCTTGAGAGGCGATGCCCTCAGGACCTGGGGCTCCCACCAGGAACAGGCAGAAAGGCAGCAGCTGCCGTCCCCACCACCTGGGCACCTTGAGCACTGAGAAGACGCTGGCCCTCATGGAGCATTCTGTCTCGAAGGGGGCTCTGCTCTGTGCAGAACGAAGGAGAAACACTCTAACCTCAAGACAGCTGCCAACGATGCTGTCCAAAGTCTAATGTGTATGTAAGTCAATATTTATTTTCTGTACCTACTTTGTACTTCCCCAAGTTATTGGCTACCTTTCCTCTGAAGAGAAACAAAAGAACCTGGAGACTTCAGAGAAAAGGAAGGTGGACAGACTGCACAGATGCTAAATCAGATGTAATGGGGACAGTCAAGCTGAACAGAGGGCCTTTACTAGAATGTCAATTGGGCCGTGGAGGCATTCTAAGAGGAAGTGGAGACTTATTTTCTTTTTATCAGATGTATTTTATTCTTGTTGCAAAGGGGGCTTTAATGGCATTTGTGACATTCTGGTGGCTCAGTCTGTGTGTGGATGAGGCCTCAGGCAGGAGTCCAGCCTTAACGATAAATTATGAAATCTTAATTTTTAAAAATAATAACACAGCCCTAGAACAGGGTTCGTTAAGATGGCAGAGCCTGGTAATTGCATAAAGCTTAAGGTTCAACTTTATTATTAATCTCGTATTTCTAGGAACATAAAGAAGTAGGGGTGGGATCCAGGATTCATTCTCTGGTAAGGCCTCCTTGTAGAGTTCACTTAGGAAAGGTCACTTGTAGGGCATTTATCGAATGTTTCCCTCTACTCTCCTATTAATGGGGGCCAGGAGCACTAGAATTCTGAAACTCAATCAAAAATAGCCGCCCCCCCAATCTATCAGGTTCTTGCTTTTCTAAGTATAGAGCTTAGGCTGTGGAAGTTTTGCTTTGCTTTGTTTGAAAAGGAACACGCCACAAAGTGTCCTCCTATGGCAAAGGGGGGCCTCTGGGGAGGATTTTCTAGCTACCCAGACATGTGGTCATCTTTGCAGGGTATAGGAACTGAATCTTCCCCTCCATTGGTTGTGGTATTTAGAGTTGGGTGTTTTCAGGAGAAATCTTGGTAGCACTCAGACGTAAAGCCAGAGGCTTTAATCCTAGTTTTTATTTTTATAACTTAACATTTTATATGTGAGAGGGTTTCGCAAAGTACATGGAAAAATTCCCATGGAACTTCTTTGTTCCAGAATGCCAATAATTCTTACATTATTCCTCCTCATGTTATCCAGCATGAATCTTAGACTTTCTTCAGATTGTTTTATCCTCTTAGCTGCTTGCTCTTCTATCTTGGCAGTATTGAGAGATTTGTCTTCCAGTTCGCTAGTTCTGTCTTCCATCTCTTCTAGTCTGTTCCTTTCCCCTTTCTGCCTGTTGTCCATTTCTGATATCTTATTATTGATCACTTGCGCATCTTTTTTTGCAGGTTTTGAATTGTTTCCAATGCTGTGTCAATCCTATTTGATTGTTCCTGCAGAACTTTACTCCTTCCTTATTTTCCTTGACCCCTTTTCGGAGTATTTGAATTTGTTTCCATAGCATTCTTCTGAATTCCCTCTCAGGCATATCTAGAACCCGCTCCTCCTCCTCTATAAAGCTTTTGTCTGTCTCCAGCTCATTTGCATCAGCTGCTCTCTTCTGTTTTTGGACATGTTTTGATAATGTTAATTGTTTCTTATTGGTCATGGTTATTGTTATTGTATTATAATTAATATGATCAGGAGATAGGCTTCCCTTATTGTCTGTAATGCGTACCAGGTGTTGTTAGGTCTTGTCTAAGTGGTGGAGTATTATGCTTATAGCTTGGCTATATAGCCACGACTGCTTCTTCTTCTTAGGTGAGGTAGGGAGGAAAAGCTCCCACCTCCAGGAAAAGATGTGTGATCAAAAGAACCAAAAGCAGATGCATAAGCAGAAATCACCACTTTGGAGCAGACATGAGGCTTTGGTCAACTTTTCCGTGCTATACCAGCAGTGTGTGTGCAAATAGAAGCCTCCAGCAGGGGTGGGGGTGACCCCCTCTTTCGGGCCTCTCCTCTAGCCACTGCCATATAGGTGGGCAGATATATATTGGGGGGTTAATGAGAGAAAGATCGACTGCTCTTTTTGTCTCTGATTGTCAGTTTTCTGCATGTGCTCAACGCCAGTCTTGGGATGGTTGAGACCTGTTCTGTTGGGTTTTTATAGATTGCCTTGAGTTTGTCCTGCCCAGCGAACTCAGCCGCAGAAAACCATGTTGATGGCTGAGGATTTTAATCTGTTCCCTGGGAGAGAGGTTGCATGTCCCGCCAGAACAATAGCTGGAATATTCCCCATGGAACTTCTTGAAATTCTGTATGGGGACTTCAAGATTACTTTGGTTTAAATGCCACTTAGCTTAAAGCAACTCCAGGATCTGGCGCTGCAAGAAAAGTGTCTAAAGAAGCACTTTTGTAATTGTTTCAGTGGGTAAAGTCTGGAGTCCCAAGGCAGGGTCGGCATTACACTGTCTTTAGCAGAAGATAACATCAGGGAGTCCTGCTGTGGCACTGCGGGAATGAACCACAAGGTCGTTGGATCAAACTCACCAGCTGCTGAGTCCCACTGACTTGATGATACTTAATAATAGTCATTACATGCTGTTGTTAAGGTGCCATTGAGTCAGTACTGACTCATATTGACCTTATGCACAGCAGAACGAAACACTGCCCGATCCTGGACCAACCTGACAATTGTTGCTACACTTGAGCCCAGTGATGCTGCCACTTGGCCAATCCATCTTGCTGGGGGTCTTCCTCTTTTTCTCTGACCCTCCTAACAATATGTCTGAAGTATGAGAGACTCTGGCTGCACTTCTTCCAATACATAGTGTAGGCAAAAACATCAGCAACAAAACCTATGGATCTGATAGCTTATGTCATAAAGGTTTTAGCTAGTTCGTAAGAGCTGAGGTCCAGGCCAGCTCTGCTTTGTACTTGAACCTTTCTTTAGAGTCCTAATTATGACAGAGGAAGTTCCTAGCTTGCTGCTCAATCAGCCCAAACCCTTTTCCTGTTAGTGGTACAAGCAGGACCATTTCATTTCTTCTTTTGAAGCTTTCTATTAATACTTTCCCCCGTTGTTTTGTATTGTCTGGGACTTCCAGAATAATGTTCTTAAGAGTGGAAATAGCAAGGGTCCAGATCTGCTTCTCGACTCAAAGGAACTTTTCAATCCCTGCATGTTGTTTTCTGTAGATTATTTCATTGAGTTAAGAATGTTTACTTCATGCTTCCTTGTTTAGTGTGAGTGTTGAGGTCTTTTTGGTGCTTTTTCTGCCTTCTTCATAGGTGCTGACTTTTCGCCATTAATCTGATAAATTCCCATGGATGTATATTTTAGGTGCTGACCCACCTTTTGCATTTTCTGCATAAACTCTCATTTGGTCATGATGCATTATTTTTTAGATACAATGATTTGATTTGCTAATATTTTATGTCTAAAATGACATTTGGATTTGGGGTTCAGAGCTATGGAATGTTAATTCTTCAAACAGCTTGTATTCATAGTATCTTCTTGTAATTTAGACAGTCTTGTGTACTCAAGTCTTCCTTTTTGGTTCTGACGTTTTTTACAATAAATACATTTATGCTGTAACTTCATTAGTTACTGTTGGGCAGCCTTCTAAGCACTGATGATTTTCTTTGGCCCAAGAATTATTCAGGAGTGTGTGTTCAATGTGCTCCCTGAGTACTGATTTTCAATTGCTTGTATATAATCAATTTTTGCAGACGTCTCCTTGTTTGTTTGATACATTAATTATTCCACTCTCAAATCCTCTTTTCAGTCTGTCTGTAAAACTTACCAGTATGGTACTGCGGGCTAATGCACTGGACTGCAAGGTCGGCGGTTCAAGCTCACCAGCAGCTCCTCAGAAACTCTATACAGGGTCGCCATGAGTAGGAACTGACTCAACAGTACTTAAATAATGCAACTTACTGGGGTTCTGGTGTGGGGCTGTTAGTACTGGACAGCTAATCATGAGGTCAGGTCAGTGGGTCAGACCCACTAACTGCTCCTTGGAAACCCTATACAGGGTCTCTATGAGTCAGATCTTAGTAACAACAACATGCAACTTACCAAGGTGTAGTGGTTGAACTACTGAGCAGAAGGTCAGCAGTTTGAACCCCCCAGCCACTCTGGTGGAGGGCAGCTGTGCTTTATCCTACAGGGTCACTACATGTCCGAATCAGCCCGGCAGCAATGGGTTTGATTGATGCTACTTACCTGTGACTGAAGGAAGCTTAGAAGTCAGGGCCTCTAGGGTTCCACATTGTAGTTCTGCCAGATTTTTGTACACATTGAAGTTGTACATATTCCATGAAATACGAGGAAAACCAAAAACACAATGAACATTTTATTTATATATATATATTAAAAAAAATCAAACTCACCACTTGGTAAAGAGGCATCGAATGTTTAGGACTAAAGAAAGAAATGCCCTGCAATGGATGAGAAAGACAGACTCAGAATTTACCTCAGAGACTTTTGATTGAGGCAGAGGTGGTAGGCAAAATGCTTCAACCTGTGCTAGACAACAGCATCAGTGCCATCTGTGAAGAGGAGGGAGATCCTCTTAATCACACTGTACCCCGTTTTCTCTGGAAGGAGCCTGGGTATTAAACATGCAACAAGAGCAATCTATTAATAACTCTTTCCTTACAGGCAGCCTGGCCTTGGGACTGCAACTGGTCAATGCAGGTCAGCTTACTCTGTGGTAACATCAAATGTCAGTTAGACATTTTTCATTCCTCTAAATTAGAGAATTAAAAAATTCTATACAATACAACATCACATAATATATATATCTAGAAGTAGTTGATTCAGGCCTTCCCTGGCAGGGACAGTGCCTCAGTGTGGTTCCAAAAAGAATGTTGTAGATGATGGTTGTTGGGTCTGGAAGTCAAGGGTGGTTTAAGCCTCAATGTTGCTAAGTAATTGGGTGTAAGAGATGATGTCAGGAGTTTTGTCTTCTCAGTGAGAAAGCCACAAGGACCTTGATTGATGTCTCTTCCACTGGAGTCTCAAGGTCAGAAAGTTTCCACAACTTAAAGATCGTGATAAAACACTTGATGAGAAGTTCACAGAAGCAGCACAACAGTGTTCCTGTGTCCATCCAGGAGACCTGAGTCTCTGAAGAAGGGACCAAGCCTCCGCTGAGCCAAAGCTCTCCATTCATGGTACCCAGTTCTCATGTTTTCAGAGAGTTGCTGCTTTAAGATTGTGAGGAAGCAGGATTGTCACCACGGTCCATAACGATGTGATAGTCCTTAGATGAAAGTTATTTCCTAACTTGCTCCTTTCTTCTCCCATTCCTGGTACCATTCAAATGCCATCACCCCCCCCCCAAAAGAAAAAGAAAATTATTCCACTGTAGCAACCTTTATATGTATTTTAAAAAGTGTACACACACAGGTATGCCGCATATACAGGTATGCGTTGCTTAACGCCCACGATCCATACTGTGAAGTTGGACATTTTGTGATTTGGACACATGGCCCAGGCAGCTCAGGCTCCAGATGCCTCAGGTGAGCAGTTGGCCAAGTCCCACCCAGTTGTCACTGGCCTCTCTGCTAGGCCAGGGCCCCCATACCTTTCCATCGGTACCCTACAGCACCACAACTGGTTAATGTGGGGTCTAGAGACCCTGTGAGTGCTGTGGAAGCTGAGAGGGACTGGGAGTGTGGGCCCGGGACTCCATCACCGCAGAGTTTGTGGCTTCTGGGAAGACAGTGGGTTACTCTGCAGGATAAGGGTGTTGTAGCATCCTGACCCTCAGACATACATGTGGTCGGAAGTTGCCCGTTAAGCAAACACATACCTGTATATATAGACATTTCAGACATAGAAGCAGCAAGGCATAGAGATGCAAATACGTCCCAATCCCTGGGCCAACCCTGCGCAGAGCACTTACTAGGACAGGGGTGGGGATTTCGCCATATATAAGCCCTCCCACTCACGTGGTCTGGCCCTGCCAAGGTAACCGGAGGCAGGACTTGAAATTCAGTAAGGCTAGGAGCTGTTTTTCATAGCAGCATACATTTATATGCAGTGATATTACAAATATCCAAATGGCCCTTGGCAGGAAAAAAAAGGTTCCCTACCGCTGTATTAAGGAGCTCTAGTAGCGTAGTGGTTACGAATTGGGCTGCTAACCTCAAGGTCGGCATCTTGAAACTATCAGCTGTTCCGCGGGAGAAAGATGAGGCTTTCTGCTCCTGTAAAGATTTGCAGCCTCGGAAACCCTGTACAGGGTCACTATGACTCCACGGTACTTAACAACCGCTGTATTGGGGCTACGGATTCATGCACTGAATTACAAAGTCAGTTTGAATCACAAGGTCAGTGGTTCAAACTCAACAGCCACTCCTTGGAGACCCTATACAGGGTCACCATGAGTCAGAACCGACTCAACGGCACTGAACAACCCGTGTTAGGAGATTCGGAGGCTATGGCGCAGTGAAGGAGTTAGCTAGGCCTATGCGCCAAGTTCCATTGTAGACTTTAGTGATCAGAAAGGGCATAGGGAACAGAGTTTGGCAAAACACAGACAGTTCTGGGCGTGTTCTTTCTCATACATGTGATGGATTAATAACACTTGTTGTGTGGCCCTTGACGGAAAATCCTAATGAATAGCATCCATCCCTGGATCAACTCCTAGCTGGCTGGGCGACCTAGGGCAAATCACGCCACCTGTCGGAGTTTTTCTTTAGTGGCAGAAGTCCTTTAGAACCACTGACCTTTGATTTGAAAACTACTCAGTCACAGTCCGCCCTGTCCCTGGACTTCCACCCCCAGGAGTCTACTGATGGAGTGGTTGGTGGTCAAGTTGACATGTTCTCATAAGAACACTTGAACCAGGTGCTGAAGACAGAACCAAAGACTGAGCCACTGGCTGTTTTGGTGAGAGGGGGTTCCTCAGGGCACGCGCCAGAGTGACAGCTTACCTTGGCTTTCTGGAGGACAGTGCCTTTGCCTGTGACCATGACCGATAGAGGCCTGTTCTTGAGTGCTGTGGCCGAGTTGACTGGAGTACAGTCTGGGACTGGTGTGGGGACGGCAGCTTTGGGCTGTCACAGGAGAGTGAAGGTTGAGTCAAAGGAGGTTGAAGGAGACACCACCCACCTCCCCCAACCCTCCCAAGAGGGTCCTGGGTCCCACACTCACTCGGGGGTTCGCACACTCCAGGTGGGTGGTGTCCACGGTAGTGCCCAGGGTCACGGGCCCTGCCTCGGCCTTCTTGAGATTGTCCTTCACCTCCACGATGGTGAGCTCCAGGTCCACGCGCCGGCTCTCTCTCATCTTGCATTCCTCGTCCATCTCCTTGAGTTTCTGCTCCAGGCTGGCCAGGACTCCCTTGTCTGTGGGGAGAAGTCAGCCCCTGCAGGACGGCCAGCAAACTCTGCTAGGAGGGAGCACGGCCCCCCGGCCCTCAGAGTTAGGGCAGCCTCGAGTCCCCAGTCCTGTGTTCACATTCTGCAAAGGCTGAGGAAATCTCCGAAGAAAAGACGTCTGCCTTTCACAAGAAGGCACCAGTGTGCAACAGGGCTTCAAACCAGTTCAACCAGAGCCAACAGAGTGAAACTGGAACAGACCCAAATCTGTTAAATATGCCAGGATTGAGTATTGAGTGACAAAGAATGATAACTGGAACAGGAAAATGGATGGTTGAAGCCCTGGCATGGGAGACTCAGAAGCAGCATAATGAGCCCTGTCAGGAAGCTGACACAGGAGCTGGATTTCTGCCAAGCCTGTGGAGAGTGACATACATTCAGAGCAGTGAGGTGGGCTGCCATCTTTGGGCATTGTTTCCAACTCTTCTGGTCGAGATACAGTTACTATACAACATACTGCCCTTGTTTTCTAAGACATCAACCTGTCTGTTTTCCTGTTCTGGTTATCATTTGGTACACCCACATTTTACAAATTCAGGTTCCATTCTGATTTCTCTTTGTCAGCCATGACTGACCCTGAAAGAACCGGTTCGAAGTTGTGATCTGAAGAGTTCTCAGAGGCTCTTCGCAGTTTTGATACCTGCTATTTTTACAGACATGCAGGAGGAGGAGAGAGACATGTTAATGATTGATGGAGGATACTGGGCTGTTCCAACACACCCTCCAAACATCCTTCAATCTCAGAACCCTCAGGCCAAAGACAGCAATGTTTTCTCAGGATTCCACAGAAGCACGGAGAAATGAAGTCCTATAGGACACAGTTCTAAGCATGAGTCCACTGAGGAAAAAATGTGCCAGTGATGTGTTTGGGAATTGGAGTAAAAAAAAACCACAAAAATACCCAAGATACAATTGAAATTTAACAGTCAATATTAGTAGTAGACCACTCCTTGGAAACCCTGTACAAGGTTGCTATGAGTTGGAAACAACTTGATGGCACTTAACAACAATCAATACTGCAGAGTCATTTTCTTAGGATCTTACTAGCCTATGAGAATGAACTATATAGTGAAAGCTCGCTCTGTTTCCCAGATCCACAGAGGAGAGATGGCTAGAACCTGTGGCTCCTCCTCACAGCCTCAGCTCAGTGCTCTGGGGCCGAGATGAGCTTTGATCAAACTCAGCCACATATACGGCAGCACTCTCGTCTTGGCTGGATGGAAGAAGTGCAGCTGTAACCTCGTTAACCACTGGTCAAGGACTAAGCACATCCAAGACACCTCACTGAACCCTCAAACCAACAAGCTGATTCCGACTCACAGAGGAGAGTTGTCTCATAGGATTCCCACAGCTATAAATCTTTCCGGGAGCAGACAGCCTCATCTTTCACCTGCAGAGGGGCTGGCTGATTTAAATGGCCGACCTTTTGATTCACAGCTAAGCTCTTTCAACACGGTGCCACCTGGAAGACTCCTCTCAAAAGCAGCAGCACAAATTCATCAAGACAGAAAGTGGTTGTGTTGGGATAGGTGGAACGGATGGCTATGGAATTTCAGAATAGTGAAGAAACTTCTTAAATCATGGTGGGGTGATGACTGTTTGACTTTGAATCATCTAAAATCAGTTGAATTTATATACGTTAAGTGGGTGAGTCCTGGTATGGTTCTGTAGGATCAGCGCTGGTCTGATAACAAGTTTGAGGGTTCAAACCTACCAGCTGCTCCTCAGAAACAGAATTGCTATGAGTCAGAATCAACTCCAAGGCACTTAACAACTCTGCTGTTATAAAGGAGCTCTGCTGGAGTCATGGATTACTTGTTGGGTTGCTAACTGCAAGGTCAGCAGTTCGAATCCACCAGCTGATCCTTAGGAGAAAGGTAGGGCTTTCTGCTCAGGTAAAGATTGACTGCCTTGGAAACTGAATACAAGGACATTATGAGTCAGAAAAAGAACACCTGTACCCCTGACCACCTTCTCTGTCCTAAGCTTACCCCGAATCCGCTGGGTTGACTCCTTACACCTGTTGTTATTGCAACTCTGCAGTTTACTTATAACTGAGGAGGACAGGTGACTCTCAAAACGAAGTTAAATGCTACAGAATATTCTATAAGAGAAGATGCTAGGAACCAGCTGTCTCATGATGGGGGGGCCGGGGGTGGGTGGTGTTGGGAAGGGAATCTAGAAAGATTTCTTTGCATAAATCAGCAAAGACTAGAAATGTAGGGTGTGGTTTACACAAGAAAGGGCCTGGCAACTCCAGTCGGCTGACTCAAACCACAGGTCGGCAGTTCAAACCCACCAGCTGCTCCTTGGAAACCTATTTATACAGGGTCGTTATGAGTCGGAACCTACTCAACAGCACTTAACAGTGAAATTCAGTGAAAGTCTAAACATTTTTAAAAACGTCTTCTTTAACCAGCGATTTTTTGTTGATTTGCACTACCTCCGACCCCGTTGCCATCAGTCTGGGGATTCTCAGTACAGGAGAATGACCCCACAAATAGGGCCTGTGGGAGGCTGGTGGGAGACCTCACCTGTACACTTTAAGAGGGTCTCTTTCAGCTCTCGTTTGTCTTTCCGAAGCTGCGCCAGGTGTCCCCGGATTTCCTCCCTCTCCTTTTCCAGCCTCTCCTTCTCCTCTGTGTACCGCTTCACCTCGGCTGCTGTTCGATTCTTGCCGAGTTTGACCTCTGTAGACTCAGCAGAGAGTCCCTAAGTCAGCAAGGCTGGTACACCAAGGCCGTCCCCACCCCAGCTCCCAGGCTCAGCCCTGGCCCACAGACAGGAAGGGAAGCTGGACCCCACCTCTGCTGAGTGGCCTGGAGCCAGTCCCTTCATCTCTCTGAGCCTCCCTGTGCGTCTCTGTGAGAATGACGTCCCCTGGTCGCTGACAGGCACCTGCACTGGTGGCCGCCCGCAGCCTGTCCTTGCCGGTGGAGCTCAGGGACACTGTGTCTGGGAAGGAGATCTGCCGCTGTTCCGTCTGGATTTTGATGGTGGCGATTCTCAGGGAGGGCTCCTCGGGCTCTGGACTCTCCTGCCTCTGCTGGGGGGAGAGAGTGAACACAGCTCAGCCTCGGCACCTCGGAAGGCCGGACCCAGCCTGTACCTGGGGGGGTGGGGAGGGGGCTGCCCATACTTGCTCTGCAGGGCTCTCTTCTGCCTTTACAGGGGGCTCATCTGGAGTGGGCCCTGGGTCTGCAGGGACGGCCTGGGGCAGGTCATCCAGACTGGACACAGTTGGGGACAAGGCCTGGGTGTGGCCCCACGTGGGTGTGTGAAGGAAGGACTTGATGGGTGTGAGGTCCAGGTACACCCGGTCAGGCTCGCTGGCACTCGGAGCATCGGGGCCCAGAGTGTCTTCTTCAGCGGGGTCTCCCTGCAGAGACAAGATGTGACTTCCCCATCACTCCATCCTGGAGTCCAAAGCGGCCTTCCTCCTGGGGGCCCTATGCTGAGCTGGAAGGCCTAGGTTCACAAGCTGGTAACTAAGTCATCTGTGAGGAGAAGGCTAGGCCCTCCCTTTGAGGTAGCTTTTCAGATGAATGGAGATAGTAGCAATTTGCGGTCAGCACTGGACTGCTATCCACAAGGTCACCAGTTCAAACTCACCAGCTCCTCGAAAATCATATACAGGGTCACTCTGAGTAGGAACAACAGTCAGTGTGGTACTGTAGGATAAACACTTGTCTGCTAACCTCAAGGTCTGCAGTTCAAACCCACCAGCTGTCCCTAGGAAACCCTATACAGGGTCGCTATGAGTCAGAACCAACTCAACAGCACTTAACAACAACCATCAGTGTGAAGATACCACTTCAACTATCAGCATGATCTCTGTTCCCCAAACTCACAGCACAGCACAGCCTATGACACAGACATTCCCTCTACAGTTTTACAATGATCGCTCTGAAGGTGAACTCAAAGCCACTCAGCTTGTTACTGTTATATACCATCAAGTTGGTTCTGACCTGTATAGGGCTTCTGAGGAGCTGCTGGTGAGCTTGAACCATCGACCTTGTGGTTCAAAATCAAACCAACCTTGCAGTCCAGCGCATTAATCCACAGCACCACTCAGGACTCCCCTGAAGTTAAGCTCAGAGCCACCTAGCTTAGGGACAAACTAATGGTGTCTGGTGTTGAGGTAGGTGTGAGGAGGAAGATGGGGCACCCGCTTACCGCTGCCGTCAGCTCTGACATCTCCACGTCGTCGTATAGCTCCTCCTGCTGGTCCTGACGAGGCAGACCGTCAATGTACGCGTTGGGCTCGGAGAACTTTCTCTGCATCAATCTGTGAGACCCAAGAGTGAAGGATTTAGGAGAGGATGGGAAACCGTATCTGAGAACAGTGAGGTTGCAACAAAGGCTGGTGGCTATAGTGGAGACCCCAGAACTGACACCTACATCCAGTTGTAAAGCCAGCTCGTTTACAGGGGGGACCTCCACCCTCCCCTCGTGCCTTCGTAGCAGAACCCCTGGCTCCAGATTTCTCTCCAGAAAATAAACTCTTTTCTGATCCCCCTCAGTGTGGGGACTCCTCCCAACAAACATAGTGTCTTCTCATTCCATCCTCACAGTAAGAAGGGGCACAGTATTCTCCCCAGTTTGTGTATGAGGAAATGGGTTTCATTTCATCAGCAGGGCCAGCTTCCACCACCCTGACCCTAGAACACTGCTCCCCGAGGAAGCAGAAACAGCAGTCTCCCTATGGTGGAGTGTGTGAGGGTCCCTGGGGAGGTCAGGAAAACTTGGAGGGTGCTGGGGTGTGAAGACAGCTCCTAGCTGGGCCTCCCTGCTGCCCATTTCTGTGGGTACCAGTCAGAATGGGAATGAGTGGGCACAAAGCAGAAGCCCCTGGACACTTACAGGAGAGACTTTCTGGCTGCAGTCACAATACAGGAGACCCTGTCGGCATCCACGTAGTCGTAGGTGAACTCTTCGGGGTCGGTCTTAGAGCCTGACTCAGAGAGCAGGAGGCCCAGCCAGTGACCCATTTCCTCGGAAGACTTGGCCTGCGGGGAGAACCAAGAGGTATGTCCCTGCACCTCCCCTGCTCTCATTTTACCAACCTGGTCCACTCTTTACACTGACCCTAGCTGCCACCTCAGTGACACTGGACCTTTGTCCTGGGTGTCACAAGCAACTGATAAATATGTGTCCAGAAGGCTAGGAACTGTTACAATCACACACATTTCTGGGTGGGCACCTCTATTTTATGAGCGACCACCCTGCTCCATCCATACATGCAAGGCTACCGGGATCCCAGTTAAAACAATTCAAATGTACTTTCGTTTTTATGGCTCTGATAAAGTCACAGTGTCTTTGATACCATACCAGATCAACCAGCTCTGACAAACTCAGAACTCAATCCCAAAGAATTTGGTGCTTGGTTTTATCCCCCAGGCATCAATGCATTAGAAACCAGTAAGTGCACTAGGTGGTGGTGGTTATGTGCCGTGGAGTTGGAACCGACTCATAGCGACCCTGTACAGGGTTTCTGAGGCTGTAAATCTTTACGGGAGTAGAAAGCCTCATCTTTCTCCCACGGAACAAATGGTAGTTTGGAATTGCTGACCCTGTGGTTCACAGCCCAATTCATAACCACTATGCTACCAGAGTGCACTGAGTACTTGTATTAAAATGACATCATCTGCCAGGGACGGCTGGACAGTCTAGAGATACTGAAAGACCATTGTCGTGAGGAAAGAGCTTCCACCAAACGGAGTGATAGGTGGCAAGTCTGGCATTTAGCTGACTTCCTTTTCCCAACTTATTCTGAACTAGATTTCTCAACACAGCTGCCATAGGGCACGTCTACTTCTAACTGCCACCATCTCTGGCCTGGGTAGACTCATGGCTTCCTAGTGGGACTCATGTGCCTCTTTTTGCCACCCTCCCATGAAGCACTGTGCTCCCCTTGCTCTTAGGACTAGGCCCTAACTCTCCCCTCCCCAACCTTCTCCACACCTTCCAGATTCACAGCATCTCCACTTCTTTCCAACAATGGCAATTAAGTAACTGGGTAACCCAATGATTCAATTACCCTCACCTTCATACTAGAAGGTAAGTTCCATGAAAGCAGGAGTTGCATCTGTTTTGTTCTAACATACTGCTGCATTCAGGAAGACTGAATACTGAATGGATGGATAAAGACAAGCGGGCTGAGGGCCTGAAGTGACTGCAATGAACCTTTTTTTCCTCACCGCCAGAGGGCAGCATTGAAGCATTAATTCACATGAGGACCCTTGGCTAACCTGGCGGGGTAAGGGGTTAGTGTGTCACACAAGGCTCCAATCTGCCACAAGTCCATGCAGGGCAATGCCATTTCTTATTTTTGTCAGTGTAACATCACATATCACATGGGTGGGGAACAGGAGAAATGCAATTGTATCACAAACCTAATTCCACCTGACAAACTCTCACAGGCATCATTTCTATCTGCTGGGCAGTGAGGGTCCTTTCTGGCCCTAATTTCTCCATCAGCCTCTCTCAGGGAGTTAGAAACAACCCCCAGCCCCAGATGCAGAAGGAAAGTTCACTGTCCCTCCCCTAGAGCCAGCTACCTGAGGTTAGAAAGGGATAGACATTCTTTTCAATGCAAACAATCTCTGGTCAAAGCAAGTAAACGGCAGAAGTTAACCAGTTACACTGTTGCCCTTGGCCGTCCTCTGGGCGTCAGCCGTTCCCCCACTCCCCTGCAGTTCCACCCAGAAGTCCCCCAGGATGGCAGTACCTCCAGTTTGACCAGCTCTTCCCCGTTGTGGAGGATTCGGAAGGAATAGAGATGGTCTGGGCTAGGGTCTGGGACCACCTCACAGCCCACCAGACAGAGGGGCTGCTGGGCGGCCTTGCTCCGGTTGCGGTCATGGTAGAAGTGCAGATGACTGTCCTTGATGGAGCACCAGCGTGGTCTCCGCTGGCTGTTGACCAGAACGTTCAGGTAACCTGCAGAGAGGGGGCTGACGATGTCCAGGCTGACACTCCAGTGCCTCCCGAAGACCCCCAAGAATCTCAGAGTGCACGTGTTCCTCGTGGCAGCTACAGGACCCTTGGAAGACAGCTGCCCAGCTTTGCTGGTTTTAGAACAAGGGTGTCCAGAGAGAGAAGAGTGGGGCTCTGATTAGGTGGGCCCCCATGGGAATATAGGATGGGACTCCGCAACTCATGGTCACTGAGGAAGCCACCGCGTCCGAGGCTCCATGGTGTTTCCTCGGCCCCCAAGTCTGTTCCAGGTTACCACTCCAACTCTTCCTCCTTCCTCCTCCAGCCTCTGCTGGACTGGGGGTCTCCCTGGCCCTGTCTCCATGTCAGCCACCCCAAGAGAGACTGGAGCTTCTCCAGGCCCGGGGTCTCCACCTGGAACCCCTCCCCCAGAAGCCTGCTTTGTCTGTGTGCAGGCTGCCGGCAGTGGGCTGCCCCTAACCATCGGTCACTGCTCTCAGATGGTTCAGGGGTCATCTCCCCAGGAAACACGTTGTGGTCTCTAGTAGATGTGTCGTGTGCCCAGTGCAGCACTTGTCCCTGGAGCCCCCACCCCATGTGCAGTGGGCCCCTCATCCTCCTAGGGAGTGGGTACATCCTCCACCCCGAGGGACCAGCAGTGTTCCCATGAATCTGCAGCCAGGATGAACTAGTCCCAGGCCACAGGCTGAACACGCACGGCCACTACCCCCCCTCCGCCCCCCCAGGGATGGCCACGTTCTCAGAGCCACTTTGACATCACATCACTGCAGCAAAGTGGAACAAGGGAGAGACCAGGCCCCAGAGATGGCTCTTCCAGGTTCCACGCCATCACCATTCTGAGGACCCATGGGAACTCTGCATCAAGAGAGACTGGGAGCCCAGATCCCATGCATGGAGTCCTGGGAAGCAGAGAGTTTGTTTGCCAACCCCAATGCCACAGGGGACAGGAACATGCTGAGTAGACATCCAGCAGTAACCCAGCCACAGATCTCCAACAGAGACCAGGCCCTGATGCCAAGCACAGTGCCCTCTGAGGCCACAGGGCTGGCAAACACACGAGGCTCCACTGCTGCCTTTAGGACCACCCTGCCAGCCTCACAAAACAACCTAAGTGGGATTCAGGAACCAGCAGAGATGAGACATGCATTCCATGAGGAAGAAGAGGCTGGAGGTGGACAGTAATGGTCTTCAGCCTCTAGTAGGGAGGCCCAGCTGGGAGCCGGGACCTGGGTTAGCCCCTAATGCCAGAACATTTTCTGGGAAAGGTCCATCTCCTCTCCTGGCTTCTGTTTCCTCAAGAATATCTCGAAGGCTGCCCCCTCGATACTAGCAACGTGGCCCTTTTCACTGGCCTCACCTGTCCCCATCTCAGAACTTCTCTCCTGCCCATGGCACCATCCCAGCTTGCGCTTCAAGACTCAGGCGCAGAGAGCCACCCTTCTCCACAGAGCCGCCTCTGGCGGCAGAGCAGGAAAGCGCCCGTTCTGTCCCTGAGTTCTTGTCACTATGAGGAAGGCACAGGGTGTGGGTCTGATAGAAAGGCACCAGCTCTAGGAGGCTGTGAGCTCTCAGACTGTGCTCTCCATCAACACTGCCCAAGATGAACACAACTTTACAAAACCTATCAGGAGGGGACTGGTCAGTGGTTCTTAACTTCCACAAGGATGAAGCGCTGCAGCACAGAAGGGTCTGCTGAGGCTCTGAGAACCAGCAGCAGGGAAGAAAGCCATGGCTGAGGGTCCTTAGAGAGGTTTACAGCAAGACCAAGACCCAAACCTTCTGCCCTACTACCAAAGCTCGCCTCCCAGCAGGTAGCTCCAATCCTTACTGAGCGTCTCCAGGGGCCTCTCCTGAGGTTCCAGCGAAGTGGACTTCTTCCTGCCCAGGCTCATTAGGTTGCTCAGTCTGAGGCCAGCAGAATATTTCTTCTTGACTGTCAAGGGGGAGATACCGTCAGCATTGATTGCATGCAGCCTACCAACCTGTCCTTGCCGGGAAATTAATGAAGGTAGCAAACGTCCTCTCACACTACCTGCCCCTACATGTGTGTGTGCGTCTGTCTGCAGGTCTCACCCAAGTTCCACGGGCCAGAGCCAGCTGTCTCTCAAGCACACACTCCCGAGAGGCACAGATATCTTTTGCAGAATATTTAAGCACCTAAGAATCTTTACAAATTGTCTTGGTTAACAATTCCAAAGGGGAGTAGCAAATGAGAAATCAAAGTATATTCTGTCTCCAGCATTTTGTGACATGTGATTTCAATTTGGCCACTTCTCCCTTTTTCCTGGTTCTATCAGTTACAGGGAGCCCTGTGTGGTGCTGTGGGTTAATGCCCTGGACTACAAAGTCGGTTTGAACTGCAAGGCCAGTGGTACAATCTCACCAGCTGCTCCTCAGAAACCCTTTTACTGGGTCGCTATGGGTTGGAACTGACTCGACTTAACAACAAAATCCGCTATAGGGATTCTGGAATGGGACACATGGTTAATGCTCTCAGCTGTTAACTGGAAAGTTGGAGATTCAAGTTCACCCGGAGGCACCTCAGAGGAAAGGCATGGCGATCTACCGGAAATCCGACACTGAAAACCGGTGGAGCAGAGTTGTCCTCTGACACACACAGGGTTACCATGAGTCAGAGCTAACTTGATGGTATCGCATTTCCAAGTTGTTTACAAATGGAAGGCTATGCTCCAATCAGATGCTAAACCCTGCCACAGACAAGTAACACCCAGGGATATTGCCCCCTCTGTCTGACCGTGAGGCTGAGGCAGAAGTATTGTTACCATCTTTGGTCTCTGGGATCTCGGGGTGTCCGTCTACGGAGCTGCCATGCTCGAAGGCACACAGGTATTTCTCATCGATGTCCAGCTGCAGATAAAGAGAGAGGGGGGATCACTGGCTGGGATGGTGACCTCTAAAGCTACAAAGTGGGGAAATCTTGGGTGTGGACCTGACCACCCCTAACCCTGTCATCTGGAAAGCAAAAGTGCCAATCTCTGGTGAGGCATTGGCCCAGCTCCTCTGGCAGCCTCCCCACCTCCTCCTGAGGTAACCTGCTCTGAGGGTCCTTCCCCCTCCTCAAAATGGCAGCTTGGCCTGGTGGGAACTTTCTGATCTTATGGGGACGACACACATGTCCCTAGAGAAGAGCAGAAGCCGCTTCTCTTACAACTTGAAGCATCCGGATTATTGTAATCAAATGTCCAGAGAAAGTCACCTACCCTAGACTTCTGGAAAAACCAGCCAATAGGATCCTAACCCACAGGCCTGGCCATGGGCAGGGACCAGGGGCTGCAGCTGCCCAGTGGGGAAGCCCTGCTCACTTGTCTTTGGGGAAGTATCCTGCTTATCAACCCAACAACAAGGAACCCAAAGTTCTTTCTGACTTGTCAGTAATCAAGGAATTGAACAAGACAACTATAACCTCCGGCCTGTTTTAAGTCCCTCTGGTGGGGCCACTGGGTTTCCTCCATGGAGATGACCTGCTCCTTGTCTAAGACCGCTGCCAACTGTCCTGCTTTCCTTCCTGCCAGAGATGGGGATCCAGAGACCAGGACCAGTGACTGCTGCCCAGACTGCAGGGGACTGACCTGCAGAGAGCCCGCCAGAATGGCCTGCCCCCAGGCCAGCACCCAACCCAACTTCCTCCAGACGAGTGCCCCAAAGCTCCAGGCCAATGAGCACTTGCACCCTTCTGCTGGGGTCAATACTGAGACTGTCCCCCTGAGGCGGGACTGGGGAGTAAGAGGAGAGCCCAGTTTCACACAGAACTTCTTCCTGCTTTTCAGCATGCCAGGCAGTCTTTGGTCCAGTGGAACTTCCCCCTCAAGCAAGAAAATGGCTAAGGCTGTATCCATTTCATCCATTTTCATGCCAAGCAAATGCCCTTATCCAAGCATTGCCTGCTTCTTATTTCCTGGGCTGAATGTAAAACACAGCTCCCAATTTCATACTTTTAATTTCTAAGAGAAATTTGCAGTCTCCTCCTGGGAGGCATGCGGCTTACTTTCGGACAGGTGAGGCGCTGGGCATCTGCAAGGCACTGGTTTCCCTCGGACACAGCCTCAGAGATTAGGCCACTCACCTCCTGGATGACCTGAGGGGAGAGGGGACATGTCAGGGGGACGAGGCTTTAAGGTCAGGGAGGGGGTTGGAGGTGAGAGAAGATGCCTCATTCCCTGGGAGAGAGAACAACCACCTACATGTAGCCTCAGTCCAGGGGGGCCACCGCTCAGGAGGCCTGGCCTCACCTCACGAAGCCCTTCTCCCAGGTCAGCCATCACTGGACAGGGCAGCTGTATCACTGTGTCCATGATAAGCAACCACATTTCTTTCCTGGGTGGTCACTCAGGGGCCCTCTATGATGTGTATCCATGTTGTTGGCTGGCAAACCACCTCATCTGAGAAGCATACCCGAGATGTCCGCCACAGGAACCCCAAATCTGCTCTGGGGAGCAGCCTGCTAACGTGCACCCAGGGGATAGGCGAGGGCAGATGTAGTCAGAGGAGGCTCTGGCCACACAGCAGCCATCAAGGACAACCCTAGTGTCCCCAGAGGACCCCCGCTGAGGGTGGCCTCAACACACTGCCCCAGCAGAGACCCTGTGGATGCAGCCACTGGACACTACTTAGAGACCCTCCTCTCTGTTTCCACCTAGAAATGGGATTCAAAGCAGGAGAATGGCTATGGGTGAAGGTTGTGAGGGTTATAAGGCTGTGTCGAGTCCTGGAGTTGGGGACACAGTACGGGGAGAGAACACAGCCTCAGTCCCCTCATCGGGGAGCTGGGACAATACCCACACACACAGACTAATGGACAGTGCTGAGCACAGGGTGTTCATGCCCCGTCTCAGGGAAGCAGGGCTAAGCCAGCAGTCCAGGCTCACGGGCTGGGATACCCATTCCTCTGCCAGCCTTTCTGGGGCATTTATTTTAGTCTCAAGCATCTCCTGTCCACTGCCACATCCTGGACCTCAGCCTTGAAGATTGGGGCGGGAAGTCGGTTTGTGAAAGGCCAAGTAGCCCCACCCACAGCAGAGCGCAGCTTCACCATGCAGGGAGACAGGCAAGCTCCCTGCTGCAGTGCATGGGCGCAGGAGAACAAGCTCGCCAGCTCTGCAAAAAAGCTGCTTGTCTTTAAAACCACCAGGGTGTGAGGCAGCAAGGGGTCCAGGGAGGGGGCGTGGGAAGCTGGGGTCAGGGATGGGTTAGGAGGCCTGAGCAGTTGGAGGAAAGCACCAGGAACTGAGTGCAAAGCTGGTGGGGGGCTGCGGGGGAGTGAGGGAGTGTGTGTGTGTGTGTGTGTGTGTATGTGAGAGAGGGAGGGAGAGAGATATGGGAGTAGGAAAGGGCTGGCATGGAGACTGGACCCAGGACAGAGGACCTGGGCAAGAGAAGGAAATTGAAACCCAAACCAGCAGCCCGGAACCCTGGGTTCTCATAAGCTCTGCAGTTACAGACAAGCTCCTAACTCTCCTAGGCCTCTGTGCTGAAGTTTATGCAGCCCTCACCGCAGTCGGAGTACACTGTTAGAAGTATTAAGTACCAAGCCCAGCTGAGTCCTGGTGTGGTGCTGCAGGATAAGCACTAGACTGCTAGCCACAAGGTCAGTGGTGCACACCAACCTTGGAAACTCTATCTAGGACCACTGTGAGTTCCAACCGCCTCAATACTTCTCAATAACTATGAATCCAACAAGGCCACTCAATGAAAAAAGGAGGGAACCAGGAGTCAAATCTTGAGCCCGTGTTCTTAAATGCCCAGATTAGGCCTTCCAGAAAGGCAGCCCTGGTGGCACAATGGTTAAGCGCTTGGCTGTGCACCAAAAGTTTAGTGGTTCCAACCTACCTAGTGATGCTATAGGACAAAGACCTGATGACCTGCTTCCACAAAGAAAGCAGCCTAGAAAAACCTACGGTGTGATTCTAGTTTGTCATACAGGTTTTATGTGAGTGGGAATCAACACTTCAGCATCCAGTAACAACAACAACGGGCCCTCTAGCACCAACATTCTCTCAGGAAGCTCCCCCAGGAGATCTGCAGACCACAACATGCAGTGGGGTGAGCCTTCCTGTTCTTTACACTATCGCCAGCCACCTAGGAAATGGGCAAGTAAAGACCGAGCTATCTTCCTAAACTGCCCCCGGCAGCTTGGCTCTGACATAGGTCTGTCCAGGGAGTCTCTAAGCATTCATGCGGTCACAGAAGCAGCCCCCAGCCCCAAATCAAGGGACGGCCAGGACGGTGGCAGATACTATTTTCAGTCATCCTTTCTAAGACCATGCAAGTGTATCCGTTTGCAGAGCTGACAGGCTCACCAAGGTGGTTAAATTTAACCAAAGTGGCATAGGGGGGTGGAGGCTGGACATAGCGGCTCCTCACCAGAAACGCATCAATGCGGCAGTGCCGGTGGAAGAAGGGAAGAAGTCCCTCTGTGGCCAGACCAGGGGCCCTGGTCACACAACTGGGTATGGAGGGCTCTCCAGAAAGTTCTTTGTGCAAACCCTACATTTTCTTGGACTGTTGCGCTCATCTCCAATGTGCAATAGACCAGCTCTCTCCCCAGACAACACTTCATCTTCGTCACCCTGTGCACTTAGGTTAAAGCCCAGGACTAGTGGGCAGACAGTGCTGGATTTGAAACTGGACCTCACTTTCCACATGAGACTTTAAGACTTGGAGCCTTAACCTGCACTCCTGTAAGAGGGGACACTGACATTGACCCCTAGTGTGGTGGTTGTGTTGTTAGGTGCCATTGAGTTGGTTTTCTGACTCACAGTGATTCTACGCACAACAGAACGAAACACTGTCCAGTCCTGCACCACCCTCAGCTGCTGTTAGGTTTGAGCCCACTGTTGCTGGCACTGTGTGAGTCCACTTCACTGAGGTCCTTCCTCTTTTTCACTGGCCCTCCATGCTGCCTCCATGCTAGTCAAGAGATCAGATGACGTATTGCATTGGGCAAATCTGCTGCACAGGAACTTTTTAAAGTATTGAAAAGCAGAGAGGTCAGCTTGAGGACTAAGGTGTGCCTGACCCAGGCCATGGTATTTTCAATAGCCTCATATGGATGTGAAAGCTGGACAGTGAATAAGGAAGATCGTAGAAGAATTGATGCCTTTGAGTTGTGGTGTTGGAGGAGAATACTGAAAGTGCCATGGACTGCCAAAAGAACCAATAGATCTGTTTTGGAAGAAGTGCAGCCAGAGTGCTCCTTGGAGGCCAGGATGGCTAAGCTTCGTCTCTCCTACTTTGGACATATTGTCCGGAAGAAACAATCGTTGGAGAAGGATGTCATGCTGGGTAAGATGGAGGGTTGGAGAAAAAGAGGAAGATCCCCAATGAGATGGATCAGCCAGGTGGCATCATTGATGGACTCAAGTGTGGCAGCGGTAGTGAGATTGGCCCAGGATCGAACATTGTTTCGTTCTGCTGTGCATGGGGTCTCTATGAGTCGGTTCCGACTTGATGGCACCTGACAACAACAACCACCATGCTACCGACCATGATGTCCTCCAGGGACCCATCTCTCCTGAAAACATGGCCTCAGAAAGAGAAAGGAATTCCGGCCATCCTCATTTCTAAGGATTTGCCGGTTAGTCTGGAAGCACATGTTATTTTCAATGTTCTTCACCAACACCATAACTCAAAGGCATTGATTCTTCTAAGGTCTTCCTTATTCATTTTTCAAATTTCATGTGCATGTGAGGCAATTGAGAATACCAGGGCTTGGGTCAGGCACACACTAGTCCTCACAGAGATAACATTTGCTTTTTTTTAAAAAAAAAAAACCACATGAAAGAGGTAGTTTGCAGCATGTTCACCCAATGCAATATGTCCTTTGATTTTTTGACTACTACTTCCATGAGTGTTGATTATGGAGTCGCCAAAATGAAATCTTTGACAACTTCAATCTTTTATCCATTTATCATGATTGTATTATTTATCGGCCCTGTTGTGAGGATTTTTGTTTTCTTTACATTGAGGTGAAATCTATACTGAAGGTTGTGGTCTCTGAGCTTCATCAGGAAGTATTTTAAGTCCTTTCACTTCCAGCAAGCAAGAGTGTGTCATCTGCATGTTGCAGGTTGTTAATGAGTCTTCCTCCAATCATGATGCCACGTTCCTCTTCATATGATCCAGCTTCTCATGTTATTTGTTCAGCGTACAGACTGAATAAATATAGTGATAGGATACAGCCCTTGCACACACCTTTTCTGATTTTAAACCATTCCATACTCACTTGTTCTATCTGAACAAACTACCTCTTGATCTAGGTACAGGTTTCTCATGAGTACAACTAAGTGTTCTGGAATATTCATTGTTCGCAATATTATCCAAAGTTGGTTATGATCACACAACCAAAAGTCTTTGCATAGTTAACAAAGTGCAAGCAAACATCTTTCTGGTATTCTCTGCTTTCAGCCACAACTTATCTGACTTCAGGAATGATATCCCTTATTCCACATCCTCTTCTAAGTCCATCTTGTATTTCTGACTGCTCCTTGTTGATATACCACTGCAACTAATTTTGAATTATCTTCCGCAAAATTTTACTTGTGTGAGATATTAATAATACTGTTCAATGATTTCCCTATTCTGTTGGGTCACCTTTCTTTGGAATGGGAACAAATATGGATCTTTTCCGATCTGTTGGCTGGGTAGCTATCTACCAAATTTCTCAGGACAGAAAAGTGAGCACCTGCAGTGCTCCATCAGTTTGTTGAAAGATTTCAATTTGTATCCCGTCAATTCCTGGAGCCTTGTTTTCCATCAGTACCTTCAGTGCAGATTCGACTTCTTCATATGCTACCTGTGGAAATGGTTGACTATCCACCAACTCTTTTTGGTATAATGACTCTACGTATTTATTCCTTCCATCTTTTTTTGATGCTTCCTGAATCATTCAATATTTTGTCCATCGACTCCTTCAGTATTGCAACTCGAGGTTTAAATCTTGTCTTCAGTTCTTCTAACTTGAGAGATGCTGATCATGTTCTTCAGTTTTGGTTTTCTAACTCCAGGTCTTTGCTTATTTCATTATAATACTTGATTTCGTCTTGAGTTCCCCATTGCAATTTTCTCTTCAGCTCCTTTATGTCTTCATTTTTCCCACTTGTTTTAGCTTCTCTACATTCTACACTCAACTGCAAGTTTCAGAGTCTCTCTGACGTCCTTTTTGGTCTTTTCTTCCTTCCTCATCTTCTTAGTGATCGTTTGCTTTCTTCACGTATGATATTCTTCATATCATTCCACAACTCTTCAAGTTTTCAGTCATTAGTGTCTAATGCATCAAACTCTGTTCTTTAAACACCCACACTTGCAGATAATACCCACTTGACCTGGCTTCTATGACTGGATGATCAGAGCTCAACTAGAAGAAGAAAGAAGAGGGGAAAAAAAGAGTCATCTGATACAATCTGACCTATACTTATGGATGCAGTAGCTCAAAAGAGGCAACAAATCTTTACAGCGAGGATCATTCCCACCCACTCCATATACAGAGTAGACAGGGATGGGCAACTTGGACATTGGCTACCCAAATGGAAAGGGGGATACAAAGGCCAGAAGTGACTGGCTTACAAGCTTTCAAGAGGGAACCTAGATCCAGAGGGCGTGGAGGAAGGTAGAATCTCCACTGAGTAGTACCCAGTATGTCTAGGCGGGGCTGATGAAAGGAGATGCGGATAGGTCTCTTGTGGTACAAATAACTGTTATCAGGACTGATTGTGAGGGATGGAAATGTAAAGGTAGACATTTTGTAGCAAAAGATGGGGACTGATTAACTTTGCACTCTAGGAGCGGAGGTCCTTGGGACCATCAGGGGAGAAGAACGGAGAGCGGGACCCTACCCAGAGAAGCAGTGATGCCAGAGATGGAGGCAGAGATGATGATGTGGAGAGATGGAGCAGCTGGGGACTTTAGACACAGAGAGGGACAGGGGCTGTGTGCTGACGATCGGGGAGCAGGCTTGCATGGTATACCCTCTGGTTGGTTGATGATCCATAGAGGGGATTGTAACCAAGGCAATGAAATGGTATATGATTGGATGAATGTAAAGCTAATTTTATCCCATGTAAACTATCACATAATTCACAATAAAACATTAAAAAAAAAATCTGTTCTTTAGATAGTCTCTAAATTCAGGTGGGAAATAGTCAAGGTCACATTTTGGTTCTCATTGACTTGTTTTAATTTTCTCCCACTTCCTCCTGAACTTGCACACTCAGCCACTGACTTTGTTTAAGCTGAAGATATGGAGTTTCTCCATTGTCTCTTCCCAGAAAGGTAGTCAATTTGATTCCTGTGTTTTCCATCTAATGGGGTCCCCCTTTTATGTTGTTGAATAAAGGATATTTGCAGTGGATAAAATTTTGGTCTTGCAAAATTCTATCATGTGATCGCCAGCATTGCTTCTATCACCAAGGCCTATTTTCTAACTACTGATCCTTCCTCTTTGTTTCCAACCTTGGCATTCCAATCACCAGTAGTTATCAATGCACCTTGACTGCATGTTTGATCAATTTCAGACAGAAAAAGTTGGTAGAATTCTTCAATTTCATCATCACTGGCTTTAGTGGTTGGTGCATAAATTTGAATAATGGTAGTAGTGTTATTCTTTGTTGTTGTTAAGTGCCACGAAGTCGGTTCAGACTCATAGCAGCCCTGTACAGGGCTTCCAAGGAGCAGTTGGTGGATTTGAACTGCCGACCTTATATTCACAGTCCAGTGCTGATCCTACAGCACCACGCCAGAAGTCTTTTTCCATAGTGGCGGCGGCGGTGGTGTGCCGTGGTGTCAGTTCCAACTCACAGCGACTCTACATAATGTTTCCTACAGCACCATACCAGCAATTCTTGGAGGTGTATGGATATTATTCTATCACAGACAGTACTGTACTTCCAAACAGATGCTGAAATGGTCTTTTTATAATGAATGTAATGCCACTCCTGTCTAATTTGTCATTCCCAGCAGAGTAAAGCGTGTTGTTGTTGTAGTTAAAGTGCAGTAGACTCAGTTCTGACTCATGACGGCCCTATATGAGGTTTTCCCAGGAGCAGCTGGTGGGTCCATTCAAAATGGCCAATACATGACCACTTCAGTTCAGTAATGCTTAGGATATTGATCTTTATACATTTCATTTTTGATGACTTCCAATTTTCCTAGATCCATACTTTGTACATTCCGTATTCTGGATATTTGCAGCTATTTATTTTCATTCTGAAGGTCCTGAAAGCTTTGCTTCATTCATGTCATTACGGGCAACTCCACTTTGAGGAGGCAGCTCTTTACCAGTTGTAATTTGAATGCCTTCCAGTGTAAGGGGCTCATCTTCTGGTTCTATATCTGACAATGTTCTGGTGCTATTCATAAGGTTTTCCGTGGCTAACCATTCAGAAGTGGTTCACCGCTCTTTTTTGCAGTCTTAGTCAGGAAGCGCCACTGAAACCTCTCCACCATGAGTGACCCTACTGGTATTTACAGTACAGGGGGCATAGCTCCCAGCATCACAGCAACACGCAAGCCACTACAGTGTGACAAACTGACAGACGAGTGGCGATTTCTGTGGTTAAGTTACTACATTTGCTAAAAAAGCCCATGGCTCTTAGCTGCATCTGTTCCTTTTCTAATAAGGAGAAAGATGTTAGAGGCAAGGAAGGCAATTAGCTTCAGGGAGATTACAAATACAGACAACCGAGGCAGAGGCAGCAGCAAAGTGTGGTCACCGATTTCCATGAGAAACTGACCACTAACACTAAAGTGTTTGTTCCAGAGCAAAGAGGTCAGTTTAAGGACTAAGGTGCACCTGACCCAAGCCATAATATTTTCAGTCATCTTCTATGCATGTGAAAGTTGGACAACAAATAAAGAAGACCAAAGTAGAATGGACACATGTGACTCATGGTGTTGGTAAAGAATATTGAAAGTACCACAGCCTTCAGGAAGAACAAAGAAATCTGTCTTAGAAGACGTAAAGCTAGAATGTTCCTTAGAAGTGAGGATGACAAGATTCTGTGTCTCCTTCTTTGGACAGATTTTCAGTGGGGGAATCAGTCCTTGGAAAAGGGCATCATGCTTGGTGGAGTGGAGGGAGAGGAAATTAGAGGAAGACTCTCAACAAGCTGGAATGACATCATGGCAGCAACAATGGCTCAAACATAACAATTGTGAGGGTGGCACAGGACCCGGAAGTGTTTCCTTCCTTTGTGTTCAGGGTCACTATGAGTTGGAACTGATTCGACGACACCTTGCTGTATCACAACAGTAAGAACACAGGAAGCCCATGGGACTTAAAGGGTCTTATACCTCTGCCCTCAGCATGATCAGCCCTCCCACTTTACAGCCTACATTTATTAGAGCTGGTGGAGGATGGTACAACTGGTTCAGATGCTTGGCTGCTAACCAAAACGTTGGTGCCCCCAAACCCACCCAGAGGTACCTCGGAATAAAGACCTGGATGTCTACATCTGAAAACTCAGCCATTGCGCACAAAGAGGACAGCTCTGCTCTTCACATGCAGAGTCCCCGTGAGTCAGAATCAATTCCACAGGAAGTAGGTTTATGAGAACTGGAGAGCCAAAGACTCAGAGCCTGAGAAGGGAGCATCCCCCTTCTTCCCCCTAGCCTGGCGTCCTCCTCACCCGGAGCCACTGTTCAGCCTGGTCCTTGCTCTGCAGGCCCAGCACAATCACATCGGCATTCATCGGTGTGATTTTCAGCTTGTGTTCCTTCTTCCGCACTTGCTTCTCCTTGTGGACAACGCTGCTGCCCAACAAGTTCACGTCCAGTTGTGGGCTGTGGTCTTTGGAGGATTTGTAGCACTGTAACAAAAGAGAAGAGACACCAGGTTGGCAGGGTCACTGGGGACTGCAAGAGCCCAGCTTCTCCCAACAGCACGCCCAGAGCCTTGACCTCAACGTCAGAGGGACAAGGCACATGGTACCCTCTCCTTCAAGCCTCCTTTCCACCTGCTTCAGCCAGGGACTCTCTAGATCCTCATTTGATCAAACCGCTCAAATCTGGCTGCAGGCCTGGGGTGGTTCTGAAAATGTGAGCTCCCCTCAGCTCCCCTTACCTCTCAGCATTTGTTTCTCACTGGGCTTCCCTAGGGAAGGCTCCTTAGAGAATGAAAGCTACAGCATTAGTCAGGAGACAAAGAAGGGACTCTGCTCCCAACCAAAGAACATTCTTCACCAGTAACCTGAGAGCATCTGCCCTGGACAGAGAAGAAACGGTGTTTACAATAATTCCACCAACTTCAAAATCTTCCTTGAAAATAACAGGGAGTAGATGCGTTTTCAGAGCAGGATCTCCTGATTCCTTTCTGGGTCATGTCTTTATGTCAGTTATGAAAACACTGCATCTTCCGGGAAAAGGCACATGCCGTACAGATGAAAAGCAGGAGCCAGAGTCACGGCTGGGAGGCGGAGCAGGGGAGCAGGTTCGTGGCTTAGGGGGCACCCGACTTCTGTTAAGGGTGAAGGAAAAAACTGGATGCAGATGCCAGTGACAAGTAAACCACCTGACGAATGCAATTAATGTAGTCGAATGTCACGTGCAAAAACGCTGAGATGACAATTGTTTTCTAACATGTATTGACAACACGGGGAAAAAAATCTAATGTGGGTGAGATGGGGGGGTGGTGGTCCACAACCCCTTTGAGAGTCTGACAAAGATCAACTAGAATTTTCTAATTAAGAAAAAGCACAGAGAAAAGGAAAAGCCCATTCACCCAAACCCACAGATTTCTGTTTACAATTCCGATGAAGGTAAAAGACATTGGGATCTTGTTTTTGAGTTGGTTTCGACTCAGTAACCCCATGTGTAACAGAACAAAAACACTGCCCGGTTCTGCATCATCTGATCTTCACAGCTGAGCCCATGGTTGCAGCTCTGTATCAATTCTGATAAGTTGTTGCTGTTGTTGTTGCTAAGTGCCATTGAGTCAGTTCTGACGTGTATAGAGTTTCCAAGGAGCAGCTGGTGAGCTTGAACCACTGACCTTAGATTCATACTGACTTTGCAGTCTAGCTCATTAACCCACAGGGACACACCAGGACTCCCAATCCTGATATGTTGTTGTTAAGTGCCGTGGAGTCGGTTCCGACCCATAGCGACCCTGAACAGGGTTTCTGAGGCTGTAAATCTTTACGGGAGTAGAAAGCCTCATCTTTCTCCCATGGAGCGGCTGGTAGTTTCGAACCACTGACCTTAAGGTTCGCAGCCCGATTCGTAATCACTACGCTACCAGAGCTCCTAATCCTGATATAAAAGGTTCCAAATCGCTGTCATCTGGAACCTTCCCATGCCAGGCCCTCTTCTCCCCCACCCCTGCCCAAAGACTGAAGACCACACAACCCGACTCGGACTGACCAGGAGTCTAGTGTCCTTGATGACGCAGAGCTGCTTGGCCCACTGACCCAGCCACTTCTTTCTCCACAGGAAGGCACAGATGCGGGTGTCTCGCATGAGCTCGATGCTGGCCTCCGGCGAGGGCCACTGGTAGGGAGCCGACTTGCCCTTGCTGTTCTCCTCTTCATCATAGGACTCATAAGAGCTGCTCACAGCCTCTCCATCCTCTGTAAGGAAGACCAGTTCACTGTCACAGTGCTGCCAGCTGGCACATTTCTCAGTGGACTCATTCAGGAGGGCAACAGCCAGCAGGCCTCAGGCCACGAGCCACCTACCTCCTGTGCCTGGAAGGAGGCCCAGAGCCACCAACCACAGAGTCCACCAGGCCTCCCTGCCCCAGCGCCCTCAGAGGGACCTCTCCTATGCTGCCTGTGACCACACACACAAATAACCCCAAACCAAGAAACTCTCCCCTTTCCTTCAGCACATCCTGTCCTCGCATGCTCCACAGAAACTCTGACAAGGGACTGCCACACCAACTGGCTATTTGCTCTTGAGAAGGTCAGTTCTCTTGCTCTGGACCTCTGTCTCCTCAACTGAGGAATGAGGCAGGTTGGGTAGGGAATCTTTCTAGATTGTTCCAAGGAATTCTGTCATTCCGAGGCACTGGGAGGAAGAGAATGCTACCAGAGCTTTGATCTGCAAACATGGCAGTCCTTATAGCTGCCCAGTCCGCGGGGCCTGGTTCTGTAAGACCGAGGGGAGACGTGGCTGCGACCCCTCAGAAATAGAGCTCTCCAAGGAAGCCACCTCTCAGCCCCTAAACACGTCGTCATAGTCAAATCCCTTATTAAAATCCACTCCTCCATCCTCCATAGCACCTGTCTCCATCTCTCCCCATCACTCAACACCTCCCAGCACAAACTTAGCTCTTGGTGCTCCATCTCTCCCCCTCTACCTGTGGCAGTGAGCCAACCTCAGGGTTTGGTTTGGTTTTGAGAGAATTCCAAAATTTTGTGCTTCTGGTCTTGCTACTATTTATTCAAGACCAACAACTACCCAAGGGGTTAAAAAACCCAATAATCTGGAATAGTAGGACCCAGTGAGGAGAACCTCGGGACCTGTGTAGACCAGGGATCTAGCTGATAGCAAGCTACGTGCTACCTCCGGGATTCCCTGTGGACAGGATGCTATCTCCCAATTGCTGGATGCTTCCTTTCCTTAGGGGCAACCCTAGCAAAACATGGGTCCTCAAGCTCCTGGCTTCTGACCTTTTCACAGGAGTTCTTGTCCTGACCCCTCAAATGAGGGTGAATAAGGCACCCCAGGCCTTCACATGACCCTATGGAGAAAGATACTCCCATGGACCCCTGATCTGCTTTTCTCAGGGCCTCTCAGTCTGCAAGACTAGGTTTCTGCCTACTAAGAACACAGAACAACATGTGAAGTACAATAGAAAAACCCTGAATGAGACCAGTATTATAGTTCCTCTAGCTACATGCCAAAATGTGTTTAAGTATTTCTAAAAATAATACTTGAAATATTTTAACATCACGTTTCTTTAAAAGCATTATGGTATGACTCCCATTTGTGACTTAATAAAAAGTTGCCATTTATAATTACGTGCCTATTCACGAAGCGGCAATGTTAACTGCCCAGTGGGGACCCTGAATTCTATTGCTGTTGGCAGCATCAATTAACAGAAAGCAATGTGGTAGCCCGCTGTGCCCAGAGCCATAACAACACTCATGCCTTCTGACCCAGTATTCCCAGTACTGGCAATTTATCCTAGGGAACTACTTTTTTTTTTTTTTTTTTTTAAATGCAGGACAGGGAAGGTTACATGTATTAACATGTATTAAGATAGATGAGTGGTATTTTAACAGCCAGTGGAGCAGAACTTGGTAAGTAAGGAGCGAACCACACAACCATCATCAACGAAAACTCTGAAAACATGTTTGCAACCTCAAAAACTCCTAAATCTTGAATGGTAGGTAAAAAAGCACAACTGAAATGATATCTGCTGATAAAGCCATGCATCCCAGAAGACAGCAGGAAGAAATGAAAGTGATTGAAGGATAGGCGGGTAGGATCAGGGTGACTTCCTAAACTGTCTTCATTATTAGGGTTTTGTATCTGTTTAGTAAATATGAATGATCAGTGGGCTACCTCATATAAAAATGAATGGTGGGAGGCCACAGAACTGAGTGTGAAAGAGCTGGGCCAAGCCCCTCACAGCTTGGTGCTTCTGATTTTCCATCTGTTTCATGGAGAATTTTAATACCTGCTCCACAGGAGTCTAAGAAAGTGAACGGAGAAGAAACAGCAGCAAATCACAGTACCCAGAGTAGACTGGAGGAAGCTTAGAGCAAGTCTATGAACAATTTTATTTACCCTTCTGGTGTAGATTTCTAGGCCCAGCACTAGACTGCGAACCACAAGGTTGGCAGTTCAAACCCATCAGCTGCCCCTCGGAAGCCTTATACAGGGTCGCTAGTAGGCAGAACTGACTAGATAGCATTAACAACAACAAAGACTCACCATCACACCAACTGTCATTGAGTTGACACTGGTTCATGGCAACCACATGTGTGTCCAAGTAGAACTGCACTCAGGAGGGAGTTCAAGGCTATGATCTTTGGGAAGCAGATCATCAGCCCTGTCGTCTAAAGTGCCTCTGGATGGAATCAAACCCCCAGTCCTCAGTTAGTAACCTGAGTGCTTAACTATATGTATCAAGCAGGGACTCCTTTGGCCCTAAATGTAGAATCTTGAAAATGGAGCTGGCTTCCAGGGCCTAGGGGGAGACAAGCATGGAAGGCAGGGTGCTCATTTCTGCTGTCACTGGGTGGACTGCACCCCACGATGTCCCATGGGAAGTCCACAGGACAGAGCCAGAGAAGCCATTCGGCACTGAGCCTTTCAACCATGAGCTCAGGTGCTTGTTGTGGGCAGGGGTCTGGGCGTGTGGGGGAGTCTAAGTCATTCCTGCTGGAAGGATGGCACACAGGGATGGTCATGCAGGACTCAGGCATGAGGATGGGAATGTGTACCCCACCAGGCAGCCAGCTGTGTGCACAGCAGTCCCCCGGGCGATGGTGGCATAAACGACTCTTTCAGGTACCTGCACCCATCTGGGGACTCTGGTCGGGGAAATCCTGACAGACTGACCTGTGTGACATCCAGAGGCACAAACAGAAGCAAGATGGAGAGAGACAAGATGACAAGATGACAAGACAACAGACTCAAGTGCAGAGACGCGGGCATGAGCGCTTGCCATCGGAGTGGGAGCTGAGGGCTTGTGAGGAGTAATTGCAACCCAGCCAGGGCCTCACTTCCCAGCCCTGTTGTGTTCAGAGATGACGGCCTGATTGCAGGTTACCAGTGGGATGTGGGCAGCAGTAATGTGTGCCTGGCTCTCTTCAAAACGGAGAGGGGCCATTTACTCTTTGCAGAGGATTCTACATGGCCAAACCCCACACTGGAAGAAATTTGGGCATCTACCTGTTGTTACCTGCCACGGAGACGGCCCCCGCTCATGGCTACCCCATGAGAGACTGGACTTTTGTGATCCATAAGGGGTTTTGGAAGTAAACTGCCTTCGTTCTTAGTCCATGTTAGTGTGGAAGCTCCGATAGAGCCTGCTGAGCATCCTAGCAATGCACAAGTCTCCACTGACAGACAGGTATGGCTGTAGGTGAGGAAGACTGGATCGAAACGGAACCTGAGCTCCCACGTAGGAGGACTGAACTCTACCATTGACCCATGATACCTCCTTCTGTAAGCTACCTACTGACTACTTAGACCCCCAGTGAGCTGTTAAGTGAATGAGAAACAGATTTTCATTGTGTTGCTATAAACAGCAGCTAGCTTTACCCCATAAATGAAGAAGTGGATGCCCTGGGCCAGCAGGGCAGACCCTAATGTCTCCAACACAGATTTTACACAGAGAGGAGCCCGACCCAGTGAGCAGCTGACAGAGCAGGACAGGAATCCAAGCTGCTGTCTCTTGTAGAAGTCAGCAGACGTGGCTGTTGGTCAACCAACTAAAGCAATGACCTGGGTTCTGCTCTTGCTGTTGTCACCTGCATGTCACACAGTTCCATGAAGCATGGGGACAATAGGCAGGAGGCCAGCTTATAGCTCAAGTGAAGCCTTCCCTTTTTAATGAGTGTGGCCACATCTCCCCAAGCCTTCCTCAGTCCTCACCCTGCAGAGGAAGGCAGGGCACCTGGCATTTCTCCTCCCACCTCGCTCTGTATCCCACATGGGATTACTCTTACCTCTGAGCTCTACTGACCTCCGCCCTGATGGTGAGCACAAGCTGTCCTTGTGATGATCCCAACCCTGACTACCAAAACCCAAACCAAACCAGGTGACATCCAATCAACTGGGAATCGTGGTGGGCCATGTGTGTTAGAGAACAGTGGGCCTCCACACGCTTTCCAATGGTTGGTTTTTCAGCAGCAAACCAACAGACTTCTCCCAAGACATCTGTGGGTGGACTTGAACCACCAACCTTTTGGCTAGCAACTGCTTACCCTACCTAGAGACTCTATCCTAGCTCCAGCCAACATGAATTCACAACTGAGGGACAAACACCAAGGTGCTTGGCCTTTCCAGCAAGCAGTTTGTATCTCTCTCACAGAAAGTGCAGGATGAGGTGTCTGCCCTACAACCAGGCCCCCTGGAGGCGTCTGGGAGGCAGGTCCCAACTGGTCCAGCCCACACCTGGAGAGACACACCTGAAAGTGCAGGCGTGTTACCAAGGTGAGTCACTGCCTCCACCTTCAAGATGCACCCCGACACCAGCACCACACCCTTGGGGCTGGTCTCAAATCACAGCCAGACTGGTACGCCTCTCACGTTCAGCAAGAGAAAACAAAGTGACGTCTGCCCACAAAACCAGCCTCTAACCATAACCTCAGTCAAAACAGGCCCCAGCCTCCCACACGACTCCTGGGATCAGTAGGTAAACTGTGAAAAAAGGGAACATCCTGGTGTGGCCCCAAGCCACTGGTCCCGTCTAGTCCTTGGCCCTTTTTTCTATGGGCCCAGTGAACTCTCTACCCCCTCCAGCTTCAGCCAAGTTCATTCCCAGGCCCAGAGGCATTCACTGCTGGCATTTGCAAATTGCTTTAAACTTTCTAAGTCCCTTCATTTCTGAAAGAAGGAAAAAGAAGGAGGTAAAAGATGGGCAAGTGAGAGGTGCTGGCCACACCACCCCTTCTGGTACCTTCTGGACCTTTCTGTGTAACAGAAGCCCTACTGTGATTGGACATCCTCAGGCTGAGCACCGCTGGCCAAGGGAAGAGGCTCAGGCCTGAGTCCTGCCCCACAGTCTGCTCTCCACCCAGCATCCAGGTCCACCTGTACTGTCCAGGTGACCCTCTTGGAGAGAAGCCAAGTCCTCCCGAGGCTCCATCTCCTGCCAGTCCCCTGCTCCAGGCATGCTGGTCTCTTCCCATTCCTCAAATGTGCCGGGAATGCAGGGCTTTTGTGTGCTGCCCTGGCTGTCTCACAGAGGACTGCATGCCCTGTCCCCACTGCAGCCAGGACTCTGTCCAAGCCTGTCTAAACAGCTCCCTGTCCCAGGCCCTGCTCCCTTGGCCCTAAGATGTAACCACTCAGCACTTTATACGTTTTATGTTTGTTGCCTGGCTTCGCTCACTAGAACCTAAGTGCAGGCTCTCCTATTGGGACCACTGCATATACAAGGACAGTGCCTGTAGGAACCTGGAACCTGGACTGTGACCAGCCTGACCACCTTGTCTTTTGTGTGCCTCCCAACATACCCTCCTCAGTCATGTTTCTGTTCAGCAACATCCAGAGAACCATCCTATAGCCCACCCCCAGCCCCACTGTCTGCCATGAGTCTCAGCTCCTCATTCAGATCAGAGGCTGGTTCTTAATGCTGCTTGTACCAGCAGCTCTGTTCATCCCAGGATGTGCATACTGGTCCATGGGATTAGAGAGCGCCAGCACGAAGCCAGCGGAGCGCCCCCTCCCAGCCCCAGCCGCTGGCTGTACCGTTTAGAGATGTGTCATAGGGCTCAGCCTCCTCGTAGTAGCTCTCTGGAGACTCGGTCTTTGGGAGCTGTTTCTGCTCTGGAATCTGTGGAATGAACAAACATTTCAGATAGGAAACACAGGAACATCTTGGAACCAACCCCTCAGATAGGAGGAAGAGGAGGAAGAGCAGAAGAAAAAAATGCTTGTGTGGACTTCAAACAAGTAGAGAGGGAGAAGCACATGATTCCCACCGTCTGGTCTGCAGCCAGTTGTGGCTGTGGGTCAAGCCTCAGAGCTCTTCTCCTTAAGCCTCTACGGTCGAGTAGATCCCAGCTCACAGAGACGCTGTAGCACAGAGAACTGCCCTATAGGGTTTCTAATGCTGCAATCTTTCTCTCCAGTAGTGATGATGGGTTTGAACCACTGAACTTTTGGATGTTGTTGTTAAGTGCTGTCGAGTCAGTTCCGACCCGTAGCGACCCTGTATAGGGTGTCCAAGGAGCAACTGGTGAGCTTGAGCCACCGACTTTACAGTTTAAGGACTTTGCAGTTCAGCGCATTAAACCACAGCGCCATACCAGGACTCCGGCCTTTTGGATAGCTTGAGTATGTAACCGCAGTGTTCTTTTTCTCCTCTAGACAAAAGACCCCCTGTTGTTGTTAAGTGCTGTCTAGTCAATTCCAATCCATAGCAACTGGACCCTGTATAGGGTTTCCAAAGAGCAGCTAGTGAGCTTGAACCACCGACCTTGCAGTTTAAATGACTTTGTAGTCTGATGCATTAGCCCACAGTGCCACACCAGGACCCCTACACTACAAGAAAAACATTGCCATCAAATCAGAGCCAACTCATGGCACACCCATGTGTGTTAGAGTACAACTGTGCTCCGTAGGATCTTTAAGGTAGGGATCTTTTCAGAAACAGATCGTTAGGCTTTGTTCAGAAACACCTTTATGTGAGTTCTAACCAGTAACCGTTTGGCGAGCAGACAAGCGTTTTAACATTCGCACCTCCCTGTAATACACAAGACTCTATTGCAGACAACACACAGTCCAAGTGACCTACTGTTTTGGAAGCTACTGTGATTTTCAGGTACCGTAGATTTTCTAGAAAGACAAGGCTTTGTCAATGGCATGTTGAGGAAGATGACCAGGTTTCCCACTTTTACCACCATACATATCAATCACTCACTCAGCAAGTCTGGCTGGTCTTGCATACTACTTATGAGGGGTACACCCTAACCATCAGGAATCAGTAGTAAGGAAGACTTGACTCGTTGGTAAACGTTTAGCAGCTAAAAACCAGGACATTGTGAGTAATGAACTAAAAAAGACAAGGTCACAGTTGCGTGGAAACCAGAGGAGGATGAGGAGCATTTAGGACCAAGGCAGGAGATGGCCAAGTCTCAAAGACGACCCCCTGTTTACACAGAATGGGGGGAGTGAGAGTGAGCACAATCTGAACACAATGGAGCATATGTGCCCAAGACATGACAATTACCCAGAACAACAGAGGAAGGAGGAGAGTCAGGAATAGGAGGGGGTTACGGAAAGTATGGAGTTCTTGGCACTGTGGGTTAATGTGCTGGACCATAAAGTCAATTTGAACTACACGGTCGGCAGTTCAAGCTCACCAGCTGCTCTTTGGAAACCCTATACACGGTCACTATGAGTCAGAACTGACTCGATGGTACTTAACAACAACATAGAAAGTGGGGCTAACTGCCTCCAAGAACAACTGCCTCCTTTACCATGGGACCAGAAGAATTGGATGGTGCCCGGTTACTATTACTGAACATTTTAATCAAAGAGTCTACAGATAAATCCTGATCAAAAGGGAGGAAATTCAGAAGAGAATCTCAAAATTCTCATGGACTTCAGACTTCCTAGACCCATGAAAGTTGGATGAAGCCCCACAGCTACTGCCCTGAGATAAATTTTAAACCTAAAACCAAAAATATGAAGTCTTAAAACCAAACAACAGTTTAGCTGAACCAGTAAAAGAGGTCTACTTTGCACATCATGTTTTCTAAGAACTATGCACATGGCATCAGACTGGTAACAAGAAATTAGGTAGGAAGCTTCAGGGACAGGGAGGGACAAGTCAGAAACGAAGGGTGACAACAATTGCACCATCTGAAGAATGTAATCAAAGTCATGGAATGGTACAAGTAGAAATTATTGAATTGGTGTATTTTTATAGCAAATTTTTTCAATAAATTCTGTTGCTGTTGAAAAGCATAGACTATGTGAATGTGTTCTCTGGCCTCCTGTTATCCCACCTGTAAAATGGGCACTAGTCCATGAAGCAGACCTGAAGACTTGTCATTGACTTGACTCTTGACTTATGGTGGCCCCCATGCACAACACAACAAAATGCTGTTTGACCCCACTTTATTCTCACAGTTCCAGCATGTCTGAGCCCACCATTGGGTCTCCCTCGCCCTCACTGGCCCTTTACTTTTACAACATATACTGTCCTTTTGTCGTGATTGATCCCTTCTGATAATATGTCCAAAGCAAGCCAGTGGGGCGATCTGCTACTGCGATCCACAAGGTTTTCATTGGTGAATTTTCAGCAGTAAATCACCAAACCGTTCTTGCTACTCTGGGAGCTCAGTTTAAACCTGTCTATCACGGGTGGCCCTGCTGGTATTTACAATACCAGTGGCATGGCTTCCAGCATCACAGCCACACACAAGTCACCTCAGTATGACACACCGATAGGTGGGTGGTGGTAAGAAGCATTTGCAGGGCAGAAAGAAGATTTCCATTGGGTGTGGACGTTATTTACAAGCAGGTCCCGGAATTGTAAACATCCATACTCCTGTGATTCGTGCTTTTCTGAATCACAAAGCCACTGAGGAGAGCCCAGTGGGCATCCAGAGTGGAGAAAAGAAAGGACAACAATGCCTGATATGCGCATCTACTGTGGGGTTGAAGAGGTTCTTGCACTGGGCTTTCCACATGGTGGGGTAGCCCCAGGAAGCAACAGTAAAAGCAACAGTAGGGATGGAGGAAGATCATGGGGGTGTCGGCCAACAGAAGGAGCCCATGGCCCTGCTGGCCGAGTGTGGGGATTCAGAAGCTCCCACCTTGAAGAATGGGCTTCTTTTGGGGGATCTGTGACTCAGAGAGGAGCCATTGTGCTGCATGGTTAAGTGCTCGGTTGATAACCCAAAGGTTGGAGGTCTGAACCCCACCAGTGGCTCATAGGACAAAGGGCTAACCACCTGCTTACACAAAGACTGAAAAACAAAAAAAGCAAAGAAAACCCCATTGCCATCGCAAGGCTGTAAATCTTCGCGGGAGCAGAAAGCCGCTTTCTTCCTCTGAAATCAAGTTGCTGATCATGCTGTTAGCAGCCCAACATATAACCCTCTACACCACCAGCCTAGAAATGCCAAGGGAGCAGTTCTACTCTACCAGATGGGGTCCCAATGAGTCAAAATAGACTCAGTGCTACCTCCCAACAATGACTGACAGAGCGCCCCCACCCCCGACCTTCCGTCTGGCCAAGCTGCCTGGACTCAGCCCCCTGTGGGAATGAACTCAGCACAGTATGCTTCACTGTCTTCTCCCAGCTTCTCCCAGGATACAGCCGTGCTTTCGGGGCTGATCCCCGAAGACCAGGAGCCCAGAGTCACATCCAGTCCATAGCTGCGTCAGAGGAGCGCTGTGCTCTGCGGGATTTTTAATGGCCTTTCTTCCAAAGGTGCATCTGGATGGACTCGAACCTCCAACGTTTCAGTTAGCAGCTGAGCACAGTTTATACCACCCAGGGAGTCCAGGACTTTTACAAGGAGAATAGGAACGAGGGTACAAACCCTTCTTCAGAGCTCCCCATGAGTCATTAACAACACAGGGGCTGTTCCCAGGGGCCATTCTGTCTAGGGCTGAAGCATCAAGGAATGTTCTGTGATTTTACCAGGCCTGAAATCCAACGTGTAAAGAAAACATTTTGGAGTCGTAGTAATGGTTGCACATCACTGTGAATGTAATTCCAGTGATCTGTACATTTAAAATGATTTAAAAAAATATATAACTGTCTAATCACCACTAAAAAATGTGTGGTTACACAAATAGGTATATAGCCATATATGTGTATGAAGATATGTGCACAGATAGATGTATCTGTAGGCATAGGTACATATATGCATACTGTAATAAGCATATGTACATATATGTATATGTATATTCACATGCATGATAAGCCACATGGGAGAAGAATTACAGAGTCTTATTAGATATAACCAAGCACCCTCGTAAGACTGGTTTTCTGGGTTTGAAGGATTTGTTTGGACAATAGTCTTGTGGGACACCTCCAGTTAATAGCACATAAATATAGTTTACAAAGTGTGTGCCCTATACCCCAGTGAGGTAAGCAGTGTTAGGGGTCTTAAAAACTTGCCAGAAGGTATCTAAGATAAAACTATTGGTCTCTATTTGTACAGAACAAAAGAAAAAGAAGGAAATCAAAGACTCAGAAAAGAAACACTCAGCCTGCAAGCCTGCGTTCCAATAAAGTTTTATTTACATAAACAGGCAGCGGGCCAGATTTGCCATCAAAGACTCAGCCTGCAAGATTAACAGTCGACACGAACCACAGCCTCATCTACTCTGAGACCAGAAGAACTAGATGGTGTCTGACCACCACTACTGACTGGTTTGATCAGGGCTACAGAAGATGGGTCCCAATAGAATGGGAGAAAAATATGGAGAACTCAGATCCCTAAAAACTTCAGACTTACTGAACCTACTGAGACTAGAGAAATCCAGGAGACTATCATCTTGAGCTACTCTTTAAACCCTAACCAAGATTATCCCTCGAGGCCACCTTTTAACTAATAATTGATTGTGCCAAAAATTAATGAATTATATCAGCTGTGAGTAAACCGACTCAACGGCACTTAACAACAACAACAACAATCACCTGTGAGTACTGAGGTCCTTTAGAAAATCACCTTTATGTGACCCACTGGGCCAAAATTACTCAAAAGCAAAGATGAGAAGGCAAGGGGGCAGGGAAACTAGTGTACTGAAAATGGTTCAACCAAAGCAGAATGGTGATGCATTGTAAAGAACTGTAACCGATCTCACCAGAAAATCTGTACAGAAATTGATGAACAGGAACCCAAGTTGCTATGTACAGTTTCACCTTAAGCACAATAAGATATGATTTTAAATGCAAATATAAAATTTTATATCTCGAGGCAGGGCAAGTACTGAGGAATCCAGCCTCAAGGACAGGATTTGAAACCTGAAACATTCTAGTTGTGTGAACTCCAGGGAAGTTCCTTAACTTCAGTTTTCTCAGTTGTAAAATGGGAAGAGTAGAAATAGCTAACATATGAGGTTGTTGTTTGGGATCAACTGTGCTCAGCACTATGCAATACTGAATAAATACTAGTTTTTGTAAACCTAAAAAAATAAAGTGTGAAAATCAAAAGGAGAAATGCTGCGTGTACATGTTGGCGGAAGAAAAGATGTACTTTGGAGGAATTCAGGAGACTCTTGGGTTTGACCTAGTTTATGCCACGTGCGTGCCCATCTTAATAAAGAAGAAGAAGACAGGGCCCATGACAGGTGCAATGATTTCTTTTCAAAGCAATTCAGAAGGGAGTCAGTCCCATAACCATAGACACAAGGGTCTGTTACCAGAGTCCAAAGGAGAAAGAAATCCTCTTCTCGAGGGTTAAAGATAAGGACGACTAGTTTAATTATCAAGAGAATCATCAGCATGATTGTGAATATTTTGACTTCAAAACATAAAGAAGTTTCCGATGGATCTCAGGGAAAACACCAGGGAATAAGGCCACATGGTCTTGGTACCCACAGATGACCCAGAAGAAAAGGGCCAGAGAATAAGTACCAGAGGAGCTTCAAAAAGTTCATGACAAAAATGGAAAGAAAAGATAATGCATTTTTCCATGAACTTTTTAAAGCCTCCTCATATTTTAGGACTTAGTAAGCCATGTGGTCTTGGTCACGGCCACTCAACCCTGCTGTTGTAGCACAAAGGCAGCCAAGTAAATGTGGCCGTGTTCCAATAAAGTTTTATTTACAAAAACAGGCAGTGGGCCAGATTTGGCATTTGGGCTGCAGTTTGCTGATCCGTGATTTAGACACTCAGTCTGATGATCCAAGGCATTCACTGCCCCATAGTGCACTGTGGGCATTTCCCAGGTGTGTGTGTGGGGGTTAGTGGACGAGGCCAGCCCCAGTGTCCCAGTTAACCATGGCTACATCCTTTTGTGGAATCCACTGCTCCTCTCACAGAGCAGTTCCCATAAGACTTAACCCAGCGCGTGTGCAGGCGTGTCAATGGGGAGGCTGATGGAGGATCCCCCGTGGCCAGCTGACATCTGTTTCTCCCGCATTGATGACAGCACCTGGCAGTACAGGCAGTGGCCGGGAGACACACAGCTGCTCGAGTCACTGTCTAAACCCATGAGGGACCCCTGGCTGCTCCTTCCCTTGCTGGAGTGGCCTGTTCCTCACTGACTCTGTGGGGGTGGAGTGGGGACCCAAGACACAGCAGTGGGAACTGAGGGCTCATGCAGGCCAGCATCCTGAGGGGACCGATGAGTCCTGGGCCAGACATCCAGGTAGGACTGCCACCATGGAGCCCTAAGCTTTGGGTCTGGGTGGAGAGGGACAGAGCTTTCTCTATCTGAGGAAGAGAAGCTGTAGGGTCACTGGTCATCCCAGGCCTGGCTGGCAGAGCTGTGACACTCACTCTGAATCCCTGCTCTTCCTCGTCCCTCAGGCCAAACGTACAGCTGTTCCCTCACCCTGACACCGCCCCTCTGGAGGCCTTGGACTGAGGCTTATGGCCGCTTCAGCTTGGACTTCAGGGAGGAGGAAACGTGTGTGCACACGGACAGGGACGGGGAATCCCTGGCTCACACCCCACAGCCTAACTCCACATCCCAGAGGCCCCTGGGGCATGGTTGGATGCAAAGACAGAGCCAGGAAAGGCCTAGAAAGGGAGCCAAGACAATTCATACTTCTCAGTGAGAAATTCCACAAGGGGGGAACTGGCTTAAACCTACAGTTAGCTCCTTCGTGGGATGTCTCCGTGGGGCCTGGAGTCTGTCAGTAGGAAAGTTACCACGTGTCAGAAAGCCCACCCAGAGTCCTGTTATTCCTGGATCTGAGCAGTTCACAGTCACCAACAACACAGGAAGCCTGCTCTAGAGGAAGACCACGGATTTCTCCTTCCTCTTCCCCACATCTTGTCTTGCTCAGAGGTCATCTTTCACACCCAGAACCCTAGGGTCCTTGGTGCCGAGGAGAATGACAAAGGAGCAGTGAAGTCCAAGGCCAGAATCCAGGGTTGTGGGAACTCATGAGTAAGGAAGTGGCATCCCCTTGCCTGCCCTATGACCTAAATGTGTCACTCCAAACCCATTCCACATCTGAGCTTAGTTCACCACCAGGCTCCACTCAGCGCTCAGTTACAGAACACGCTGGCTGGAGACTGCCATCCCAGGTGCTGAGCTGGGGGGCTCAGCAGACTAAGGTACAAGGGTCAGAATCAGCAGCGGGGTTCAGAGAGGAATGTACTAGAGCTGGAGTTAAGGACCATGGCTGCTTCCCTAAAGGCAATGGGAACCACTTGCAGTGTGGTATGATTTATAGAAATAAGTTTTGGATATTAACATTATATTTTTGGTGAAAATATACACAGAGCATAATCCTCTCCCATTCAAGTTGTTAGGTAAACTCCCCAGTGACAACCATTCCTCCTTCACAACACGTAAGTACTCTGTTTCAGCTTTCATTGGCACCATGGCCTACCCAAACACACTAGCCCTGCAGGGCCCCATCCTGTGGTTCTGGGGCAGGAGCCCGCCACAGCATCACTACACACAGTGGCATTGGAGGGAGAGGATCTCCCTCCACTGCCCATGATCTTTAGCATCTTGTGTCGTGGGGCCCTGAGAGAATGCCACATTGCTGAGGGCAGGGGTAGGTCAGTTTTTGCTCTGTCTCTTCCAGTGCCTAGCCTCAAGTTCCACACACAGTAGGTGCTCAGAAAATGCTGCCATTCAATGTATCAACACCTGTGAGAACAACTGGAAGGAAGTCAGAAGAAGCAAGGACCCTGGAGCCAACACTTACAATCTTGGGTGGAGGCAGGTCAGGCAGGCTCTTCTGGGGGGGCGTGGAGTGCGGGCTGGGCTCCCCATTGGTCAGCGGGCTCTTCTCCTTGGGCACTGTGAGCAGGAATCAGGATAAGGATTATAATGGGGGTATCATTCCTCCCAGTGAGGTCTCACTAGCCAGGAATGTCTGGTCACATGTACAGAGATTTCTAGTTGAGCAGGTGTTAATTACCTAGGCAGGCAGCCCCTAGAGACACTGGTGTTTTTCCTCCAAGAATAGGCAGCACTAAAGCCTTCGCTTTGGAAGGAACCTGTTTGGGTTTCTGGCACGCTTCCTCGCCCCCATTCACCTCTCATCACAACTAGCCCAGCCACAGGGTGTTTGCCCTCTGAGGAACTGCCTGGTGGGCACTATATTGAGACACGCTCAGCGCTAACCCTGTGATTATAGCTCTGTCCAGCCCGCAGTTTACCCAGAAGGCAAATGCCATGGCTGTCTAACATATGAATGAGTTCTGCAGAACCTTGGCTTGGCCGTGGAGAAATGCCTACTGTTCCTGTACTTGTACAGAAAAGGGCACCAGAGGGTCTTCTGAAGCTGGGGCAGACCAGCTCAGGCAGGATGGCTCATGGCTTTGGTGGCTGAGTCTCTAAGAGGCCCAAACAGAGCACCCACGATTCTCCTTAGGGCCAAGCATTTGAGGTGTTGTGTTCCCACCTTTGGCTAAACCTGAGTGTTTGAGTCTCAGGTCTGGGAGCTGGAAGACAGGGATTCTCATCCTCCACTCCCCTGCAAGCCTCCAGGCCTCCCTGGAACCCTTTGGGCCTACAGCAGGAGGTTTAACAGAGCAGAGGTGGATGTGCCATGGAAGACACACCGTCCTTCTAATGGAAGCGGAGGTGTTCTCTGCTCATGAGACCACCTTTGGACTCTGTGTTTGATTCTCAAGGCAGTCATTGACATCATTTATCTTCCCTGCATGTCTCCATCCCCCAAACCCAGATGTCCACAGGAAAACATATGTGGGAACCGTAGGATTGGTACCAGACAGCTGTCTGATCAGAACATCTGGATCATGACTTGCTATTCCAGGGACAGTGCTAGGAAAAGCTAAGAGGTTTTATAGACAGATTCCTTATCCGTGAAAGGGACGGGAGGTGGCCCATTGAAACATCCCAAAATACATCATCCCAAAATATCCACCAAAATGTGGCTTCCAAAACCAATTTCACTGGGCTATGCCTGTCTGTGGGCTAGGCTGGAAGGGTGAGTGGGGGTGGGACCAAGTCTTGTCCTTTTGTCTGTCCCAGGAGCCAACCAGCTCATCAGCAATCCCAGCCTTGTACCTTTGTCCTGGGACTCAGCATTCTGCTTCTTGTAGTCTGTCACTTTGTTCATATAAATGTACTCCTCATCTGAATCTGGAGGAAGATAAAGACATGGGGCTTCATGAAGGGAAAGGGCTTCCAGAGACACTCAGTATCCCCCTCAAGCCAACTGCGTGTTTTCACTGGATTTAAGTTCCAGTAAGAGCACACAACCTTTCGAGTTGATTGAAACCATCTATAAAAGAGGTGACACATTAAAAATACAACAAAAACAAAGCATTAAATTGCTGACTGCTAGTTTTCTAGCCTACGGGAAAAGGGTGGGGTTCCGAAGTACAGTGTCAAAAACAACAAAACATCTTAAGTAGAGTCATCCACACCTCAAAATAAAAGTCTACCTCATGATCTGAAAGCAAAGATTTCTTTGGATGTCCCACCATGTCATTTAAATTACAAATGTTCAATATTAGTCATTCTTATCTTAGTCTGAATTACCTGATTTCATTAAATCTGAGTGCTGGATAGGTAGAAGACTCCCAGGGAGGATGGGGAAGTAGCTCCCAGGACTCTTGGTAGGGGTGGCTCTAGGAGCCAGAGACAGTGGACTCATGCGCTGGCTTTGGAGAGATGGGTGTACTGGGAATCGGGAGTACGAGCTCTCACCTGAACGCCACAGCAACACCACCCACCCTTCAATTAATTTCTAAGCAGGTGAGACAAAGTTGTGGTGCCTGTTGACATGGAAAATAATGTAACACTTGCTCTGATTTTAATTCCCCAAGCAGTTTTTCTCCTCAAGTTTCAGAGGAAGTTCACCCTAGTGTTGTTCCTTTTAGAAATTCTCCCATAATTCTCTTGTGGTCCTTAATTTGCATTTCCTAGAAACTTGCGGCTGATAAATTCCGGTGGTTGGAGAACTTGATCCTGAGCCAATGGACCCAATTCAAACCCCTGGTAAAAGAGGTAGTTCAGCATCCGTCTCTTCCAAGGCCACAGACCAACTGGACTCCAGCCCACAGGCTTGCCAAAATGAAGCCTGAGTACCAAGAGGAACAAACAAACAAATAAACAAACAAAAGTGTATTACAACTCGTGGTGACCCCGTGTGTTAGAGACGAACTGAGTTCCCTAGGATTTTCTCAGCTGCAATCGTTATGGAAACAGAGCCCTGGGCCTGTCTTCCACGGCACTGCTGGGTGGGTCTCAACCTGTCAACAGGAGGAGGATATGGCTGGATCGGTTTCAGTCATCAACCTGAGGGACCACCAACTCAGTGCTCGGTCCTACCGGGGCCAACGTCAGCCCTATACCAAGGGTTACAATCATTTGCAGGAGACCGAAGACTAAACCCACAGCCATCCTGTTGATTGTGACTCATTACAACCTTCGACAGGGTTTCCGAGGCTGGAAATCTTTACAGGAGCTGAAAGCCTCATCTTTTTCCCACAGAGCACCTGGTGAGTTTAAGCCACTGGTCTACTGGTTGATCCTCCAGTGCCACCAGAATTCCTTCACCATAAGAAAATGGTGAAATGAAACCAAGACACAATGACATATGTAGTACCAAATCACCTTTTAAAACCATAACTTACTGGAGAATGAACTCAAAGGCATAGCCATTTTAGAAGGGCTTTAAAAAATTTTTTATTGTGATCTGAGTGATAGTTTACATGGGAGAACATTGGCTTTACACCACTGTTTCATTACAATGATTACAATCTCCTCCATGCATCATCATTCAACAGTAGTTTCTTGGGGGGTGGGGGGGTAGGGGTTAGGGGAGTGTACACAAAGCACTCCGGAATATATAATAATTTAAATAACCAAAAAGCACATTCTGCAAGCCTGCCTCCTGGCAACCAGCACCCAGTCCCTCTCTTTCCATGAATCCAGAGTCCTCAGCTGCTCCCTCTCTCCATGTCCCATCTCTGCCTCCATCTCTGTGTTGCTGCTTCTCTTGATAGGGTTCCACATTCTGTTTGTGCTCTTCTCCCTTTATGGTCCTAGGGTCCTCTGTTTCTGGACTGTAAGATTAACTACTCTCCCATTTTTGTTATAAAACTTCTACCTTTACAGTTGTGACAATCGCAACTAGTCATAACAATTACTCACTATTGTATCATAAGAATCTTATCCCCATCTCTTTTCACCAGACCCTTCCAGACAAGATGAAAACTATTCAGTGGGGACTCTGCCTTCCCCCAAACACTCTGAAACTAAACTCCCTCTTGAAAACTTGTAAGCCAGTCACTTCATGTCTTTATCACTCCCTCATTTTACGTACCCAATGTTTAAGTTGGCCATCCTTATCTACCCTATATACAGAGGGGATAGGATTGATTTTGGATGTGAAGACTTCTTCCCTCTCTGTTGGTATTTTGAGGTACTACATCCATAAGTATAGGTCAAGTTCATCAAATTGTAGCAGTTTACACTCGTTTCCTTTATCAAAAATTTTTTTTTTATCTTCCTCTAGTTGAGTTCTGATTATTAAGCCATCGAGGCTAGATCAAATGGGTACTATCTACCAAGTTTGGATGTTCTTGTGCATCTCCCCTCACTTCATATCAGCTGGATGCTTCACTCTCAGCTCTAGCCCTCTGTGGCTATGTTCTTGTCCATGGGCTTGGGAGTCCCCAGGTCTCACCACATTCAGACCAACCAGCCCTACCTCTTCTCTCTCTCATCTCTAGGTCAACAGGAGTCTATGGAATGTGGTTGAACTCAGCCCATTTCTTCATTGCTGCCTTCCCTCCTCTTCCACTCACCAGTAGACCAATGTGGTCGTCAGCAAGTTTATGGGCCTGCTCAGGTGTTCCCTTTGAGTTTCAGTCTTAGAGGGGGTTTGTCCGGAAGGGACTTGATATTGCTTGCCTTGACGGCTTCTTTAGAAGGATGTTGAAGCATAATGCAAGTGCTCAGAGTCTTTGACCCACCATTATCGTGCCAACAAACTCTAGCATTTAACTAACATTTCACTTGAGGATAGTCACTTCAGCAATATCATATGGTATTCAAAAAATGAAAATAAAGAGCAAGAATGCACCTGTAGGGTGTTGGCTAACTATAAGAGTAGACAACACCCAAATGAATAAGACAATTGTGCAAATGACAAGGATATCCAAGACTTGAGTTTTCAAATAGCAAAGAAAAAAAGAAAGAAAGAAAATGTTTGTGCATGGAAATGTGCACATGGTAGCAATTCTAAACGTAGAGGGAAACAAGCCAAGTCACAACACACGCAAATATTCTCCTGGCATTCCTAGAGACCAGAGGGCACTGAAGGAACATAGTCTTGAATGCTCTCTTCCTGATGGGGTTCCCGATTTGTCTTGCTTCACTTCCCTGCACACATACACACAAAGGTGAGCTACTATTACATGGTTTTCACTGTGAGATTGTGAGCAGGTACTTCTTCCACAAAACGCCCATGTGTAAGGTACAGAGAAAACTCATATTGGTCACCTTGCCAGGTTGTGTCCACCTGCCTCGGACACTCTCCAGGCCATGGTGAATTGGTTTCTAAGTGGTTTGGATTCACTGGTAGGTGTCATCAAGCGTGAAACCATGTGACAGAGCTGTACAGCCCCGTCGGGTTTTCTTGACTGTAATTCTTACGGGAGGAGATCATTCGGTCTTTACTCCATGGAGCCTATGGGTGGATTCAAACCTTTTGATTAGCAGTAGAGAAGGTTGCTAAGTAGGACTCTCCTAGGACTTGCGGCAACTGTGAGAAAAGCACACGGAGCTGCAAGGGGAGGCTGCTGAGAATCCCACAACCAGGAGGACGCAAACTCGGGCCTGAGAACGTCCTATTGTCCACTCACTCACTGTCCAACTGAGCACCACCAGCTCTGTACCAGGCACTGAGCCAAGTGCTGAAATGTAACAGCCAACAAAACCGACACTGTCTTTGCCTTTATGAAACCAACCATCTGGTGGGGGAGACAGGTCCTTGGGTGGTACAAACGGTTTGTGCTCAGCTAACTGAAAAGTTGGCAGTTCAAACCCACCAAGCAGTGTGGGAATCTGCTTAGCAATGTGCTTGTGTCAAGCAAACCCCACGGAGCAGGTCTACCCTGTGACATACAGGGTTGCCATGAGTTAGAACAGACTTGAAGAAACGTTTGTGGTTTTGGTGGGGAGTCAGGTGTGTGAAAGGACAGGGGCCATAGATGTTGCTGGGAAGGAGAGAGGGGTGGGGGGTGCTCTGAGGATCTGGCCTGGTCTGCAGGGGGCCCCCCTAGAGAACTGGGGTGCAAAGGAGAGACACGTGCCCTCTGAAAAGAGCTGTAGTTGGACCCAAACAGTAGCATCACAGGGCAGCCACCCAAACATCCCCAGAGGATCTGAACAGGGGATCAAGTGTTAGAGCACACACAGGTCAGGGCATAAATGCACAGCAGGTGACCAAGCCCCCAAAGAACAGGCCTCAGCTTGTGTCTCAACATTCGGACCAAAGAAGAGCAAAGAATGTAGAACATCCATTTTTTATAGTAAGAAAAGTAGACAGCCAAACAGACGCAGACACTCACTCGCCACTGTTCGCTCTGCCCGAATACATCGGCATGAGCAACTGCTCTGATCAGAGGACCACCGGCTGGCACAGAGCCAGCAGGCTGACTGCATCTACAAGTCCCATCAGGCTGAGCGGATGTTCTGGAAGACACTTAGTGAGGAGGCCTGGGAGGGCCGAGTGAGGGAAGCTTGGCATTCTGTGCTTGCAACACAACAGCTAACCTGCACAGTGGAACATGGGAATGATGGTCAAGTCCACCTGCCTAGATGCAGCCCTGGCTCTGTTACTCACCTTGCTTCCCTCCTTGGTGAAACAGGCTAACAACAATTCCCTCACAGACCTGGACTGAGGATTCAATGACGTAGTGCATGCCATTCAATATGCTAAGCAAGATGCTGGATCTAAGTGAGTGTGCAGTAACTCAGTGAGTGTGCAGTAACTGCGGGTTAATGCACTGGACTGTGAGATCCATTTGAACCACACAGTCAGCAGTTCTAGCTCCCCAGCCACTTCTCAGAAACCCTACCCAGGGTTGGAACCGGCTCAATGGCATTTAACAACAATTGTAGTAGTCTATTCCCACCAAGTCCGCCCCTGACAGGGTTTTCATCAATTGATATTTGGGGAGTAGATAGCCAGACCTTTCTTCCTTGTCTACCTTTAGTTTGTGATGGAAACTCTGTTGACACCTGTTCAGTATCATGGCAACATGCAAGCCTCCCTGACAATGGGGGTGGGGACTGTGCTTGATGTGCACACTGGCTGGAAATCTAAGTCAGGTCCCCTGCCTGGAAGGCGAGAATTCCACCACTCAACCACCAAAGCCCCTATAATAAACGATGATACATAATAAATGCCAGCAGCTGGGTGCTGGGGCCAGAAAGTTTGCTGTCAAACAGTGGCTATTAAGAAGCGGATACTGCAACTGGGAAAAGGAAGTGGTAGCCACAGGCCTCAGAGTGATGACACATATTTATTTGTGTCTCGATGGTGCTCTAGAAGTGACTCACACTAGGGAGCTCCTGAAGCCGTTTTAGGTACCCCATCCCCCCATATCTCTTCAGCTTGCAGAGAAATGAGGGATGGGGACATACAAAGGTCAGGGCTGGTACAAAGGTCTCCTATAGGCAGCTCGATGGTGCATCAAACCAAGGAGGGACCAAGATAGGTGCTCTGATACAGGGCTTCAGACCTCATCCATCTCCCCAGAGGTACTCTTCTTCACTGAAAGTCCCCAACACAGTGAATGGTCTGGGTGCTAAGCTTGGCAGTGAACTTGAAAGTCTCCCATGTGGTGAGTCACCCCTCTCAAGCGTACCTGCTTTGTAATGGGGATTTCCCACCCACCACTCCCACCATGGGCTTTTTTTGATGGCTGTGCTGACCAGCACTCAGCAGTGCCTGCAGGCACCCACTACAAAGCCCAGAGGAGCCTGGGAACCAGGGGCCGCCTGGGGAACTGCAAAGGCATCATTGGGGCTCGAGAAAAACACCTCTGATGAAGGGTTACAAGGCCTGGGATGATGCGCCAGAAGAAAAGGCCGATGGGCAGACAGCAACATGCTTCAGCTTTACAACCACTCTGTGATTCAGACAGGATACTAATTCCACTGAGAACAAAGAAGAGAAGAGCGATCTTGAAAGGCAGCCGGCAGATGCAGGTTGGCTGCGAGGAAGGCTTTCCTGACTGTGGAGCTAAGGCAGATGAAGACTTCCTTTCTTCCAGGGAGAGGCTCTGCTTGGCCAGGGAATTCTGCTGTTCCTGATGGCTGGCCGGCAGGTATGCTGGATATCCTCAGGCACCACTTCCCATTCTCAGACAGCAGATGTAAAATCAACCAAACTAAGCTGTTTTGCTCGAAATGAAAACATATGACCAGGAGAAGACTTATCCAAGACTGTTCTTAGCAGCCTTATTCACACTCACCAACACCTTATCTATATTAGCTAAATGTCCAGCAACAAGTGGATGGATGAAGAAAATGTGGTAGATTTATAGACTGGAATAAAGCACAGCAATAGAAAGGGACAAACTGACATAGCTAAGAGCCACAAGGAAAATCCTGAGCCAAGGAAGCTGACATAAAGTATGCACTGTTTGAGGAGCTTCAAAAAGTTCCTGGGAAATTCCATTGTCTTTTCATTCCATTTGTCCATGAACTTTTTGATGTCCCCCATTTGATCCAACTTAAAAGCAGTTCTAGGATGGGCAATATTATGTGTGGTGAGAGAAATCAGTACAATGGGGAAAGAGAAGGAAATTAACCAGAAAGGAGTAAGACAGAATTTTCTGGGCTAAGAGAACGAGTCTATATTTTTGTTTATTGTTGTTAAGTGTTATCCGGTCAGTTCTAACTCGCAGTGACCGTGTATGGCATTTCTGAGTCTGTAAATCTTTGCAGGAGCAGAAAGCCTCCTTTTTCTCCCACAGAGCAGCTGGTAGGCTCAAACCATTGACCTTTTGGTTCATAGTCCAGCGCTCCTCCTACAGAGCCACCATGCTCATCTTTTGTTTAGGGTGGTAGTTACCAATGTGCATGTTGTTGTTGTTAAGTGCCATGGAGTCAGTTCTGACTCATAGCAACCCTGTGTAAGATTTCCAAGGAGCAGCTGGTGGGTTTGAACTGCTGATCTTGAGGTTAGAAATCTAATGCTTATCCTACAGCACCACACCAGGAGTATACAGTTGCCCCCACTCATAGTACACTTCAGATCCACGGAATTTTTATATATGCAAAGTCTGTAGCTACTAGTGCCTTCGTGTCACCTCTGACTCACAGTGACCCTAAGCACAACAGAATCAAACATGACTGGGTTTTTGGTCCTCCTCCACCCTTACAGTCATTGTTATGTTTGAGCCCTTGATTGTGGCCACTGTCAATTTCTAGTTGGAGGTCTTCCTTTTATTTAGCTGACCCTCTACTTTACCAAGCATAATGTCCTTTTCAAGGGAAGGGTACCTCCTGCTAACATTTTCAAAGTATGCCATCCCAACATCAAAGGAGCATTCAAGCTATACTTCTTCTAAAATAGATTTGGTTTTTCTTCTGGCAGCCCATGGACCTTCCAATATTCTTCACCAACACCACAGTTCCAATGCATCACTTTTTCCCCAGTATTACACATTCAGTGACTGTCTTTCACATGCATATGAGGCTGTTGAAAACACCAGGGCTTGGGTCAGATGCACCTTCATCCTCAAACTGGTATCTTTTACTCTTGAACAATGTAAAGAGGTCTTTTGCAGCAGATGTGTCCAAAGAAGTATATCATTTGATTTGTTGACTGCTGCTTCCATGAACACTGATTGTGGATCCAAGTAAAATAAAAATCTTTGACAACTTCGGTCTTTTCTCCATTTATCATAGTGTTGTTTATTGGTCCAATTGTGAGGATTTCTGTTTACTTCACTTTGAGTTGTAATCCATACTGAAGGCTGCTTTTTTTTTTTTTGGATCTTCATCAGCACGTACTTCAACACCGTTCCTCATTGTAAATCACACAGTATCTTCTTGTTCTATTTCAATGACTGCCTCTTGGTCTATGCACAGGTTCCTCATGAGCACAATCATATTCTCTGGAATTCCCATTCTTCACAATGTTATCCAGAGTTTGTTGTGATCCACATAACCCAATGCCTTTGCATAGTCAATGAGGTACAAGTCAACATCTCTCTGGTATTCTCTGCTTTCAGTTAAGATCCATCTGACGTCAGCAATAATATCCCTCACTCCACGTCCTCTTCTGAATCCAGCTTGAATTTCTGGCAGCTCCCTGCCAATATGCTGCTCCAACCATTTTTGAATTATTTTCAAAAAAATTTTATATGCATATAATATTAATAATATTGTTCGATAATTTCTACATTCCGTTGGGTCACCTTTCTTTGAAATAGGCACAAATATGGATCTCTTCAAGTCAGACGGCCAAGGAGCTATCTTCCAAATTTCTCGGCATAGACTACTGAGTGCTTCCAATACTGCATCAGTGTATCGCAATATCTCCATTGGTATTTAATCAATTCCTGAAGCCTTGCTTCTCACTAATGCCTTCAATGCAGCTTAGATTTCTTCCATCAATAACCTCAGTTATTGATCATGTGCTACCTCCTGAAAGGGATGAATATCAACCAATTCTTTTTGGTCGGTGACTGTATTCCTCCCATCCAATGAGGCTTTCTGCATCATTCACTATTTTGCCCCTAGATTCCCTCAATATTACAAGATAAACCTTGATTTTTTTCCTCAGTTCTTTCAGTTTGAAAACTGTTGAGCATATTCTTTTCTTTTGGTTTTCTAAACCCAGGTCTTTGCATGTTTCATTATAATATTTTACTTGGTTTTCCCTGAGCTATTCTTTGAAACTGTCCAACTCTTTTACTTGTAAACGCTACTTCAATAAAAAGGGTAGAACAACAAAAACTTAGTGAGGTATGTACACCATTGAATGGTCAACTATTTGAGATCAAAAGGGCAGCATCTGCCCAAGAACAAAGTTCAGAAGGATTGGGAGAGGAGGAGGAATGGAAACAGGGAACATAGGGAGGAAGTGTGATGACTAATGTTACACTGAAGGGATTGTAATCACTGAGATGAAACAAAGTACAGGATTGGTTGAATGTAAAACAAAGTATAGGATTGGTTGAATGTAAAACTGATAATCTGTTCTGTAAACCTTCACTCAACTCACAATAACAAGGGGGGAAAAAAGGATAGAATAAAGTGTGAATTCAGGGTTCTATGATTTATAAAGACTTAACGCTATGTTTTCCTGTTTCCCTTTGGGCTGTATAACATTAGGGTAGTATTTCAGGCAATCTGGGCCTCGGTTTGCACACCTGTAATTACAGCAGGGATTTCCCGAAGATACAAGTTGACGCTTGTGTCCGTAGGAAGTGTTCCTGAGGTGCTAGTGATTATTATAGCAGCTTATGCGCCCTTCTCTACTTTTAATCAGTGAGGAAAAATGCTTTGGAAACACGGTGTCTTAGCAACTCTCTGGTGAGCTGGTGTGCTGAGTGGGAGACACGCAGGGTTCCCCCGCAAGACAAGTCCTCCTGGTGCCATCTTTCCATCCCTCTGGGGACTATTCTGAGGCCCTGGGCCAACTTACTGCTGGTCTTGGTGTAGAGACGGAGGAGCTCGGCCACACAGCTCTTCTTCACCACGGCTGTGCTGCTTAGGTTCTCCTGCTCAAGAATCTTCAGGAAGTCCTCCAGCTCCGTCAGCAGTTGCTCCAGGGCTAGAGACAGAAAGCAGACAAAGCCATTATATAGCTACCACTGCCAGCTGAACCCGGCAGCAGCCCACAGTGGACTTGGCTGGGTGCTGGTAACACAAGGGGACCCCAGTCAGGAGGCTAGAGCCCCGTTTTCTGGGTCTCAGGGTGAGGGAAACAGGCCCCTTGGATCTGAGATGGATGTCTTCACCTCCGGTTGCTGGTCTAGCATTTGCTGGAGGTGTGACCATGGTCAAGTGGCCTGGCCTTCTAAATGCATCTCCTCTCTTGCTAAGCCTGGGAGGCCAGGGTGATTGTGGGCAGACAAAGGAGAAACTCCAACCTTCCAAGTGCTCAATGGGCTGCTGAACCCGGCTGCTGGCTCTGTTCTCACCCAGATTCTCTCTGGGTGACCCTGAACTGTTACTTAATCTCCTTAGTTCTCTCATCTGTAAAATGTTAGCTTTAGAGCTAGTGCTCTAGAAAACTCCTTCCAGCTCTGAAATTTCTCATTCTAAGCCTGATCCTGGCTGGTAACATGACTTTCTAAAACACAAATCTGACTATGGTGCAACCAGGATTGCAAGTCACTCATGGAACCTACCGTGTGACCCAGCAATCCCATACTTTGTCTATGACCCAAAGAGTTGAAAGCAAGGACCCACACAGAAATCTGTACACCAATGTTTACTGCAGCCCTCACTGTTCACAATAACCAAAAGGAGGAAACCAAAATGTCCATCAACAGATGAATGGCTAAACGAAATGTGGTGAACATACCACTCAGCCATAGAGAACTAAGTTCCTGGGTGGTACAAACAGTTAAGTGCTGGACTACTGACCTAAAGGTTGGTGGTTCGAACCCACCCAGAGACGTCTCATAAGGCTTCTGAAAGGTCGGAGCCTTGAAAATCCTAAAGGGCAGTTCTACTTGGCACACGTGGGGGCACTATGAGTTAGGATTGACTTGATGGCAACTAACAACAACAACAACAACAAAGAGAAACAGAGTTCTGATACCTGCCACAAAGTGCATGAACCTTGAAAACATCACTCTGAGTGAAACAAGCCACAAAAGGACAAAGACTCAAAAATCTCACTCATCTGAAAGATCTACAATAGGCAAGTAGTTGAGATCAAAGTTTACCAGTGGTTACCAGAAGTGGGTGGGTGGGTGGGAGGTAGGGGTTAAGGGGAAGTAAGTCAGTGCTTGCGGAACACTGAGTTTCTGTGAATGGTGGGAGAATACTTTGGGAAAAGATAAATGTAATGGTTACACAACATGATGAATGTAAGTAACGTCACTCAACTGCACATGTAAAAAAATACTAAATTGCAAATGCTTTGTTATATATATTTTTACTACAATAAGACAATTGGAAAGCAAAATAGAAGAAGCTAGTCTGTTCTCAAGAAGCCCCTCGCTGGCCTCCAAGGTCTGTGGTGGTGGTGATGATGGTGGTTATGTGCCACGGAGTTGGTTCCAACTCATGGTGACCATGTATAGGGGTTTCCGAGACTGTAAATCTTTAGGGGAGTGTAACATCATCTTTCTTCCATGGAACCGCTAGTAGTTTCGAACTTCTGACCTTGAGACTAGCAGCCCGATTCATAACCACTACACTACCAGAGCTCCTGCCAAGGTGCTGTAGACCACTGCATTGCCACCCACCTGCGCTCATCTTCACACTGCAGTCCTAGTCATCTTGTCTCTCCCAGAGATGCCTGCACCCTAATTCCCACAACCTTGAATATGTCTCTTTGCATGACAAAGGGGACTCTGTATAGAAGATTGTTAAGGCTCTTGAGCTGGGGGGGAGTCTCCTGGAGTATGGGGAGTGGGGGGACCAGTGTAAGCACAGGGCCCTTATAAAAGGAAGGTTATAAAGGTACAATTAGAAGGTATAAAGATGGAAGCAGAGGTCAGAGAGGAGAGGAGGCGCGTTGTTGTCGGCTTTGAAGCTGGAAGAAGGGGCCACAAGTCATGGGATGCTGGCAGGCTCTAGACGCTACAAAAGGCAAAGGGATGGATTCTCCCTCAAAAGTTCCACAAAGAACACAGCTCTGCATACCCATTTTAGGCATCTAACCTCTAGGACTGTGAGGGAATAAGTCTGTGTTGCTACAAATCACTAGGAGTCATGGTGTGGCACTGTGGGTTAAATGCACTGGACTTCAAGGTCGGTTTGAATGGCAAGGTCAGTGGTTCAAGCTAACCAGCCACTCCTCGGAAACCCTATACAGGATTGCTATAAGTCAGAACCAACTTGAGAGCACTTAATAACAACAGTATAAATCACTAAGTTTGTGGCACATACGTTACAGCAGCATCAGGAAACTACTCCAGTCCAGAGCAGCCCTGACCGCCCAGTACACGCTGTCTGTGTCTGTTATCGGAGTCTAAGTGCCAAGAAGACAGGCTATGTCTAGCACATATTTCCAGGGCCAAGGCACAATGTTCAATCAATATCTGTTGACTAAATGAATGAATTAAAACAAAGCAAATCCACCCACACCAAGGCACATCAGAATCGACAAGAAAAATAAACGGCTGGTCTGGACCAGGACTGAATAAAAAAACTCAATTGAAAACCCAGGTGGTCTGGAAGGTCCTATCTAGGTAAAATATTAGACTGTATCACTTTGTTTGTCTCTTTTAACAGAATCCCTCTCCACTCTTCTAGTTTACATAATACAGTATCAACACTGGAAACGCAAAACAATTCTTCCCCCCAAATGGTCCGAATGAAGCCAACTCTTAAAGTCTACCATATGGACGAATTAGCTGCTCCCAAACTTGGAACCCAGTCACCTGACCGCCTTCTGGAACCCTTGGAGGCTCCAGCTTTACTAGTGACTCCTCCTCCGCTTCAGAGCAGCCTGAACTCCTCCATCCGGTGTCAGACCAGGAGCACAGCAATGGCAAGCGAGAACCAGGCACAGCCAGGAAGTTTGGGCTCATTCACTGCCCCATCGTCCTGCCATTCGTCTCCCTGGCTCCACGGATCGAAAGCACCTTCAATCACACTTTATATTTAACCAGATTTGTAAATAATCAGAAGTGGAGAGCGGAGATGGCACAATGCATCCCCAGAATAAAGGGCAGAGACTAAGGTCTTCCAGATGGTCAAACGTTGACCCAGAGTGGATGGGCCACAGGAACTCTCTGGACCCAGGCACCATGCAGTATGGACTAAGGGTAGCACCAAAGGAAAGATGCCTGTGTTAACCTTAATGGATGGTGAGTTCCTATCATCTGACCCAGTAGAACTTCTGTGCTGAAGCTGAAGACTCAGGCCAGCACATTGCTCCGACCAGACAGACTCACTAGGGGACATGCTGCAGATGACACTCTGTCCTTCTGTGCCTGCAGAAATACTGACAACCCATTAAAATCCACATTTTGGCAAAAACAAAAAACAAAAAACAAAAAACCCGTACTGTGAGCTTCTTTGATAATTGAACTATCTCAGCTGCCATCCAGTCCAGCATCATTTCCAAACAGGTTAAGGGTGTTGGTTCAACAAATCCAGATGTCAACCATGGATTCTCAAGGGCCACATAAGATATAGGGACTACATGTCACTTACAGTAATGAGCAAGTACCTGGGACTGCCTTGCAGAAGTGGCAGTTCAGAAGGCAGCAGCCGAAGATTCAGGAAGTAGTCACTGTTGTTGTTAATGACCCAAATATATATTAAGAAGAATAGGACACTGCATTGCCAATCACCTGGGGACCATCTACTCAGCTGCTTGTTCAGAATATGTGGACATGCTCATTGATAGCAGCTAGCTTCTGGAGACTCTGAACTGTTTGCTATCTTGGTTGCACCTGGAATCACCTGTCAAGCTCTGAAAGATCTGGAGACCCAGGTCACCCACCAGATTGATAAGACAGAAGTTCGGAGGATGGAACCCAGTTGTCAATGGCCCTGAAACCTCCTCAGGTGATTCCAATGTGCAGGTAACATTAAGGACCATCAAGGGAGAAAAGCACAAGTTGAATAAGGGACCCTACCCAGAGAAGCAGCAACGCCAGAGATGGAGGCAGAGATGAGGATATGGAGAGAAGGAGTAGCTGAGGACTGTAGACTCATGGAAAGAGAAAGGCTGTGTGCTGGTGTCCAGGAGGCAGGCTTGCAGAATGTGCCCCTGGGTTGTTTAAATTATATATTCCTGAGTGTTTTTGTGTATATCCCTCCCCAAGGCAAACAAACAAAAAACAGGGAATAGAAGCAAATACTGTTGAATGATGATGCACGGAGGAGATTATAATCATTGCCATGAAACGATGAGTGTAAAACTGATGTTCTCCCATGTAAACTATCACAACTATCACTCAATTCACAATAAAAATGAGTTTTATATATAAAATGGCATTTTCCCACACACACAAAGAAAAGAATGAGTGGTCTGGGCATTCTATGGGGTGGGCATTACTGACCCCATTTTGTCAATGAGGATCTGGTGGCTCCTATATTCCTTGTGGCAGAGAGTTGGGTTTGCTGTCAAGCCTAAGGTTCAGCTCCTAGAACCTCTGACCCAGTGCCCCCATGTAGAGCCTTCTTCCAGCATCCCACAAAGGTCCCCTCCCCAGCACAGAGCTGGAGCCCAGATTCTCTCTTAGCTCCCCTTATTAAGAAGAGAGCCCCATCCTTTCCTCTTCCTAAAAGAGAGCCCAGTGGCCTGTTTCTGCTCAAACATGGTGGAATGGGGACCTCTGAACCTCACATTTGCAAAAAAACTAACTCCCTGGAATGAAAGGTAGGGGGTATGTCTGCTTCAGAAGGAAGCTGGGAGAAAATTGCCAGCGAATACTGGGGCAGCCTGGCTCAGTGGACAGGAAATAGAGAGCCTTCCTCTCCCTCTTCGCCGTCCTGGGTGAATTCTGAAGAACCAGCAGAGTCTGGCTTGCTGGAAGCCAAGTACAATGCAACCAAATGCCCAAAGGCTCCCTGGGGTGGAAGGTGGCAGATGAGCAGATGCGGCCAAACCCAAACCAAAGCCACTGCATCGAGTCGATTCCAAATCCTAGCCACCCTTTATAGGGCATAAATCCTTCTGGGAGCAGACAGCCTCATCTTCGTCCTGCGGAGTAGCTGGTGGATTTGAACTGCTAACCTCATGGTTAGCAGTCCAATGCCTAACCCGCAGGGCTCCTTGAGCAGATGCTAAAGGACAACAAAGGCAAGGCAAGCTCTCAGCTCTGTTTGGGTGGTTCTGTGGGGAAAGAGCCGGGGCCAATTACACTGCCTCTGGCCCTGGTCTGGGTTGTTAACAGGAAGAGTACTACAGGGCTCTGCAAGGAGTTTATTTCATGAGCAGGTGAGGTTATCGTCTTACCCCATGAGCAGGGTAAGCACAAGCTGACTTCTGCTTACTTATCATCTGTAGTGAACAATTTCACATTTTTCACCACATCACAGATCCTGCTCCTAGATCTGGCTGCTACCTGTCTCTCTCCCAATCTCACAGTGCCTTTTCAAATTTACAATCCCTGACAGGTACAGTTGTTGTTGTTGTTGTTATGTGCCGTGGAGTCGGTTCCAACTCATCGCGACCCTGTACAGGGTTTCCGAGACTGTAAATCTTTACGGGAGCAGAAAGCCTCATCTTTCTCCCACGGAACAGCTGGTAGTTTCGAACTGCTGACCTTGCAGTTCGCAGCCCAATTCGTAACCACCACGCTACAGGTACAAAGAACCCAGTAGATCAGGTAAGCACAGACTTACTTACTAAGCTGTAGTGAACTGTTTCACGTTTTTCACAACATTGATGAAACTCATGTGAATCCATTTGCTTACAGATAAGTAATTTGTGCGTACTTGGCTTATTGGGTAATCTGCCCCTGGACTAGATACTTAACTAAGCTTGTCTCAAGAGGACACCAGCAAAGACTCCCAAAGTACACCTCTCAGTATAAGCCCGCTCCTGGTGCTCTACTTATTCCAAAGCTTGAACTTAAATGGGGGACAGGGTGGGCTGTTCTGGCCTTAACTACAAGCTCGTTGGCAAGACAAGATCAACACCTATAAAGCAATTACAGGCCAAGGAACACTACCCAAAAACCGAGTCCTGTCCGGTGGTGTGGTACCAACTTCAAGTGTGGTAGGAGGCTGGAGCAGAGTAGTCTTATGCCTGAAGGGCTTCTGGGAAGAGATGCAGTAGGGCAAAGTCTTGGCTGTGTTTTTGTTTTCTTTTCTTTTCTTATGGCTATTCATGAGTTTCCTGTTGGCTGCAGGAACTCAACAGGCTGGAAAGTAGTGAACTTAAAGACATGAAACCAGGGAAAAACATCAGCTAAATACGGGAAAACACCACCAAGCCTGGCACTCCATTGCAGTGTGTGGGCACAGGAGAAAGGATCTGGAAAGGAAATGGGGGATGTGAAGCTGCTGCTTGAAAACAACAAAACAAAGACAAAGCATGTAAAAATGAAAGTGCCTCTTCACTTTCATAGCTTCAGCTCTTTCCCAAAACTGCCCAGTTCCTGGAAGACAGCCTGGTTGATTTTCACACGACCAACTAAGTACTAAGTAGAAGGGAGGAAGGGCTGAGCCTGGCACTAGGCAGACAAAGGTGGCCCAGATGGGGTCCCAAGTCCACCCCATCCAGTATCTGGTCAATACACAGGATAATAACAGAAGTGAGGTAGGAATGTCTGTAAGGGTCAAGAATGCAC